GTCACTGCCTTTAAGGGCTGAAACTTTCTATGGACAATCTGGGCACTATACTACAGAACCTGTTTAATGCAGCCTCTCAGTCTTTTCCTGAGCTTAGTTACGAATTTTCAAACTACCGTGCTTACGCACATTTGACATCGTTCTGGATGGCGCTAAAGCGGTTTTTTTCGCAGGAAAAACTGTGCAAGAGGTAGAAAGTAAGCTTCTTAGTCGAAAACATCTTTTGTAGTTCAAGAATGCAATTTTTTTCTCCGGAATTTGCTGGCCTGAAGTATGCCTGAAAATTCAAATAAAACTTGCAGAATTTTAAACACTATTGAAGGTGCGTATGTGTGCTACAGATGCTGGGCGCACCCATTGGCCTAGAAATTCTGCTTCCGAAACCTCACTGAAGTTCTCACGCAAGTGTTTTTTGAGATTGACATTCGCTTATGCAGGTTACCGCGAGGAATGTGGGCAGGGGAGGTATGGGGGATAGATGGTGGGGGGGGGGGTAGATGGGGCGGGGGTCGTACGGATGGGTTCCTTCAAGGAGGGGGGGGGTCGTAATTGGGGGTCCCGGATCGCATCAACACGCTTGACCCTTACACGTTACAACCGAACATTATTTGCAACAATCCGATATTTTGAAAATAAAGGTTCGGTAAGAAGCGACTTTCGAAGTTTCTAAGTTCCATATTTTATGTGTTGTGGTGCATCTTCAAACTACTGAATCACCCTATTTTCATGAGTACAAGCCGCACTTTTTCTATTCTCCAAGCAAACCACTCAGCCGCCACGCTGTGTTTTGCCGATACGATACTCTCAGGCAGTACGCGACACTGTATATATATACAACACTGCATATGGTGCATCCCCCTGAACCCCTAGGTAAAATTTACGTGGCTGCCGCTCGATCGTTTTAACACGTCACCGGCAAATTTAAGGCATTCGTTCGAAGTTGACGTGTTGAAATAATCGAAAGCTGTTGGTTCGTAGGAACAATTTTGGGGGACGCACTATACACTTACACTATACACTGTATAATCCTTCAGTTGCAAAATCCTTGCGCTGGGCTGGTCCACTTAAAAACATAGGCCTAGCACTCGTCAAATCAGAGTACGTATTTTATTGAAAATCAGAGTTTGGAGAAGTCCAATAAGCCCCGAAAGGCTAGTCTCGAGAGTCCCAGAAAAGATTTGTACTGAACAAAGTTTGGGGTGGAGGACATTAGGTCGCCGAAAAAGGGCGGTCCCCGCGGTCATTTGCGACAAATACGCACCCTTGTACAAGCGCGGACATGCGTTCCTGCAGGGAATCCGCGCGGGACTCTTCCAAATTCGGCGACCTAATGTCCTCCACCCCAAAATTTGCCTTGTTTTCATGTGATGAAATTTTCTTCGAAACTTTGAAATGAAGATTTCGAGCACTACTCAGACATTTTTTGCAGCCACCCGCGCGCTCATGGCCGGCTGGGCGAAAACCCATTCCGGGCCTTGCCCTGCCATGCTAGCGCGGGCCAGCGACGGTTCTAGTGTGTGCAGCGACCCTGTCATCCGGACGAGCGCGCCAGCCTGCATTTCAATGTCTCCTTTGCTTTGTTGGCCCACGCTAGCATAGCAGGGTCACCCTGGGGTTGGGTTTTTGCTCGGCTGCACCTGCATGCGCAGGTCACCTCGAATGTGGATGCGACCCATTTGAGATCAAAAATGGTGGAGATCGTTCCTGTTTCACACTGGTGATCGAAATATACGAGATTATTTGAAACCCCATCAGCGGCCAACTCATAGGGGAACCTGATGTGCCTAAATGCAAGTGTTACTTCGCCTGCAAGCCTTCGATGGCATCCCTTTTACTGCGTCGTATCTCACGCGAGTAACCATTTTGCTTACAACGTGCGTTAATCCATATGGATGAGCGGGTCGCTGTTGATTTCGGTATGCGTGTGTATGGATGCGCGGGCCGCCAGTGAAATTATGAGCCTGTTTAGGCGCGCGGGCCACCGTCAGCATGGCATCAACTATGTGCGCGGGTCGCCAGCTCACACCTGTGGGCCGCTGCTGGGCCTGATGCATGTAAGGCTAATATTTAGGTGCCGCGGCTCAACAGCGAAGCCCAGTTGGGCGACCGGGCCGCTGCAACAATTGTCTGAGTAGGTCAAGCTGCACAAGCAAAAAAGGTAGGTGCCTATCCAAGATTTTTTTGCCAGTTATGAGTGAAATTTGCTTGCTGAATGCCTGCTGAAAAGATGAAGAAAATCTGCATTACCTCAACTTCAAACGAATTGGCTCAAACAAAAGAGATTCATTCAAAAGAAGCACCAGCAGATTCTACTCATCTTTGCCAACGGGAGGCAAGTTTCCGAATTCCATTAGCTTGAAATTCTGGCTTTTTAGAGACTACGAATTCTTGAAAAATGTGTGTGCAATTTCTGCAGCCTCCTGACTTTTGAATTCTTTACTAAAGAGAGCCTAGCAGTAATGGTAGTACGAAATTCTAAGCTATGTTTATTCTTGCTTAATTGTATGCATCGGCTAAGAAGCAACTCAAGGAGCTACAAACAATTTGGGGAGAAGCTAAGTTCGAAGTGTTGGACTGGTGCATCTCCTGAACTGTTTGACCGTGATAGCATTGCTACCAAGGTTCAATATGATCGTTATTGGAAACATCGGAAACATATCCTGAGCACACCGACATAATCGATTAATCTCGAGGTGGCTGTCTACTGCGGGATCCATCCGTAGATTACGGGTCCCATTTCTCTCTTCTTCTGGAAGAGAGGAAGGAATAAAGACCCCCTTGTATGGAAAATTTCATCTGAGCTCGCCGGAGCGACGGAGAAACGGACGGAGAAATCGCGCCCCTTGACCGTCTCCCACTTCATACACAACTCCTACAGGTACAATTGCTTGAAATGATAACCATGTTTGGAAACTGAAGGAAAAAACGTCAGGACATTTAGGGCCGCATGCATTAACACCGCCGCTGGGGAGGGAATCGCAGCTTAAAAGAAAAGCTTTATATCCTGAAACTCCAGATATCTGGGTTCACGTTGTCTACCTATCCGTAAGTGTTCCTACTATCCTTCACCATGAATGTATTGAACATGGGCAAGAAGCTGTACAAGCCGTTAGCTGCAGCTTTTTGTATGATCCCCTGATGATTCCCGGGGAACGATCGTTCATTCTCTAACGTCATTTCTCTTTCTTCAAAGTTAATGAAAACATTCCAAAGTTGCACTGATTATCTAACCCAACAGTGCTAAGCATATTGGTGATGAGAACATATGTTTCTGAAATATCGAAATTTCCGATAAACCCCAACATTCGACCCGTGGTTCATTGAAAATTTCATGACTCCAAAACATCATTTGTTCTTATCAGCAACATGCTTAGTACTGTTGGTTTAGACAAGCAATACAACTTTGGAATGTTTTCATTGACTTTGAAGAAAGAAAAATGACTTCAAAGAGTGGACGGTCGTCCCCCGCGGATCACCACGGGATCATACAAAAAGCTGGAAAATGCGGCTTGTATAGCTTCTGGCTTCTGTTCAATATGTTCGTAGTGGAGGATGGTGGGAATACTTACTGATAGGTAGACAGCGTGAAATCCAGATATCTGGAGCTTGAGGATATGAAGCTTTCTTTCAAGCAGCTCCCCTCCCCAGCGAGGATGTTACTGCATGCGGCCCTTACGTTAGTAATGGAAAAAGGTGCAGTTGGGGATAGTTTATTCTGCAACCAGTGCGTGCGTCACCTCTGCTTCGTAGAGGTTCGCACTGGCCACTACTAATCTAAAGGAAACTTATCCTTGGCTTGTCTCATAAACCATTCCTACTGTCTGAATTGAACGAACCGTAACTGAAAATGAACCTCTCTCGCTATAAGATCCTCAAATGCCTTAGATCAATGAAATCATTCCTAATTGTGATTTCGTAACAGATCAACTCCACGGATAGACAGATTAGCGGCTTATTACAAGTCATGATGATCCTCAGCTCAATAGAGAGCATCTGAGAGAGTCACCGTGTAACATTCAGTTTGCCTGGAATGCTAGAATTGGTAGACGGCGAGATTTTGACAATTTTTGACAGGATATATTGATGTGTGAAAAGCAGTTAGCCGAAATATACTCTCCTTCGAACCACATATCGATTATCGCAACTCCTAACTGCTTCATTCTTCCTGCTCTCGAAAATTAAGCTCGTGTCCCTTTTATATTCCTCCCAAACTTACCGACCGCTCACGACAGACACACATCAATAATGAAATCCACTTGTCAAGTTACTAGTGATGAAGCTATGTCAACCTACCATTTTCAACACTTGATCTTTTTCCAACTATCGAACACTATCATTGCCTTTCAGTGGCAGAAGAAGCGGAGTCTTCTCAACAAGATTTGCCGTCGATAAATTTCCATCTATTTCATGACATAAAACGGATCGTCAAAAACCACGTCACGAGCAAGTTGCCAAGTCTCCTCCCCCCTTTAATGAGAATCTGTGACACTTTCATTGAATTCCAAAAGCGATAAACGAAGCGTAAGAAAGCAAAGCTGTCCACGGTTTTCAATCTCCACTTCTAGACATAGTGAGAATTAGAGACTTTAGCAAAGAACCGACTGTCTTTTGCATCCGTCTCATCTAACACTTTGTGTATAAATTTAGCACAAGAGAATGACTTGTCTTTACCTACAACGGGAAGAGATGTCATTTGATTTTGTGGCGCTCGATATGAGTCATTGCGAAGGATAGTTTCTCGCCTTGTGAGTGGAAATCGTTCCAAGAAACATTCGCTGAACTTGACATAGAATGTTGTAAGTAGTGTTTTCCCGCACTTTCCATTACGCCTCAAAAGCCGCATGCTGCTCTTCGACACACATGATATATCTGCCATTTAAGGTTTCAAACACTACCCTTGCACTAAGATGATTTGTGCAGCAAACTCATGGGTGAAAATCGACATGTCCGTGTTCAGAATAAGATACAAAGAAATCTGAACTGATCTATGCCGGAGTCACATCCGAAAAAAAAGTATGCAGGTATATGTGCACGCAAATAAAACGTACACTATATGAAATAATCAAATCATGCAAGTAATAAATGAATGAGAATTTCACCATAAAACACGGATAAAACAAGACGTGCACCAGCAATTATTCGATAAATACAGAATGCGTAACTCTCCTTTCAATAAGCACTCCGTCTGAAATCTTTGGATAGGAATGATTTACTCCCGTGCGTATTGTAGCGTCCATTCTCTTGCCGTGCGAATGGCCTCAGTTTCATTAGTTTTCCATTGCTCAGCAACATCAGTAGCTAGTGGGTCCTTGGAACGTTTTTCATGAGAACAAAGTGGACAAAATGAAGCTCTTATTTGTAAAAAACCTACTTCGGGATTTGGCGCAGATAGCAGTGCTTGAATTGACAAAAGAACAGTGCGAATTTGCAAAGCAGGAGACCATTTGTCTGCAAAATCAATTTGAGCACATTAACAGAAAGAACATAGCGTCCCCATGATACTCTAACGTGTTTGAAGATTGGACTGACCTTTCAAAATATCGAGACAAATCCTTCCGAGCTTATCAATGTTGGGATGGTAGATTTTTGTCATGAAACGCACCTGAAAACAATCGCTGGACAACTTCATTCAATAGCCATAGATTAAAGACAAATTACATTACGAGAGATTCTATTCTCTTAATTCAGACTAGGCTAATTTTGCAAGGTCATTTATGAATGAACACTACAATAAATGAGAGAAGGGCAACCGCGTGATTATGAACATGTGAAACAACTTCATTCGAATCATCAGTGCGTTCATGCAACTTGGGACCAGGACCTCTTTTTGAGCAAAATCAATGTGCCTACAAAAAGCATTTTTGGCCAGTTTTGTTATGCGCATAAGAAATGTAACTTCTGTTCTTGATTCAGTTTCGTGCATGGGCTCACGATGAGATTAGGGAGTTTGCTTGAAACTGTACCACTAGGTCACGCAAAACTGGCGTACGAGCAATCAATGTTAGCAATAACGCACTTTACCTGCAAGGCTCTAAAAAGTAGTAAAATCATGCTTAACGCACCGCACAAAATCAATCACACTATTAACGCATGAAGCAAGCCAAAGTGTATGCAACAAATCACCTTGGGAGCAGCCATTGGATACTCCTCTGGCAAGAATAGTTCTAGCTTAAACACACCACCAGCAAATGGCGAATCTTGTGGTCCTGCGATCATGACATGGAAGTATCTAAGGAAGCATATAAAGTCATAGTTTGCAAGAATTACATCAGATGAATATGCGAACATACCGGGCATTGTTATCATCTGGGCTAGCTGATATACCAGGCACTGGATCAGCCATAAGCCTCTGTGTTTCCTTGATGATTCGTCGCGGTAATGCGCCAGCCATCTTCGCCCTTTATCTCTACACACTATTCCTAAATACTTACGCCTATAACCGGGCACAGCAGAAACGGGAGTTGAGCGAACAATAGGTCCACATGAGTCATTCATGGAAAATTACTCCTTCACTTTCATAGCGATGAGTATCAACTAGAGTGATTTACGTATGACCTTACTCTTATCCTGACTACTGATTTATCGTAGTCATACTTGGTATGGCTACAATATGATGACTCATATTTCGGTAAAGCCAAGCTTTCTTCGCTCCTGATCGTCTATCAGAGGTAAGGCAGGAGACAGACCGTCATCTTCTCAGGTAAAACACTCATTTAACTATTTATTACGCCACATTAATATGAAACAAACCAAAGAAATTAAGGCAATTGAAAGAGCCTAGCAACAAGTAATTTTATACGCTATCGCAACAATAGCTAATATATCACAATAAAAACGATGTAACAGAGAATAAATAAACCCCCTAAAATTACACGCCTTGATAACTTGGATGGCGTTCCAGAATGTAAAGTATCCCGTGAAAATGGGACTTCGCACCCATACGATTGAACACCATGAGATGCATTTGGAATGCGCCGTTGACAATCGGCAGCAAACGAAAGGAAGACCCTGATTTGCGTGGTAAATCACAACTCTTCTCTGACGTATTTTGGCTTGAGCTCTTCGATCTTCTTGACAAACTCTGATTTTTCGGTACAGCCCTTGCAAGCCTGAAACAATTAATCATCATAGGGATACCAAAATCTTGTCACGGAAAATTACCTCTCCCCATTCGCTGAGAATATTTTTCAGCTCCTTCACCCGCATCTTCTTTAAGTCGATAGTCTTCCAGTCAAGTGGCTTCTCTGTAATGCAAAGTGATGTAGTGAGTATTCACAAACGACGTCGGTTTCTGGAAATCAAAACAGGAAAAGAAACAAATCCCATCGAAGTGAAATTTGAATTGCCTTGCAAATTTTCTGTGGTACTTTCTCATTTCTTCGTTAATTTTAGAATGTAATCTACAACATTGGAACCCATTTCCAAGCACTTCACTCATCCATAGATAACTAGACATATGGACTCTAACAATTTACTAAGGAAAAGGAGGAATGAGGTGTTTCTGCTAAAAGAAAAAATATGCACCAACTCAATTTCAATGTGACCGAAGCTCAGAATTCACCAGTAAGGTACAGCGCAAAAAAATATATTCTACTGCAAAAAATTGCAGACATCCATAGTGCCTTCAAATTTCTACTAACAAGGGAATGGTCAGAAATCGAAGTGGCCTTTCCAGACAAGCTGCCTAGCGTTAGATGCAGCATGAAGCGCTGACTCTAAATCTGTCTTCTTTATCTGCTTATCGCTTTTCTGGACGATGTTATAAGCCATTAAAGACCATTGTTTTGCTTAGAAATTATGCGTGAAAATTAAAATTTAGCCGTACAGAACCTTGTTCGCCTCAATGCTGGGCCAAAACATGCAGCTAGCTTACTTAAAATTTTTGAAGCCAGAAGCCGAGCTAAAAGTGCAGCAATGTGCTCAATTTCGCTGTTTTTATGTACGATTTTTTCACAATAAAACCGCTTGTGGCTTCGTCCACAAAAGCGGGAAGCAGATAAGGAAGACAGATTCGAAGTCAGCGTTTCATACTGCATCGAATGATATACAGCTTGTTTGGTTTGGCCACTTCGACTTCTGACCATTCTCTTGTAAGCTCACATTTCTGGGTACAGCAAGTTAAAAACTGCCACAGAATTATTTTTTTTAGCTGTGCTCGTGTTATTGAGTAATTTTTGCTTTGAATGAAGAAGATACAAGCCCATGCGCTAGCTATTGAGGTTATGCATGGATCTACAAGCCATTGAAGTTTGACCACTTAGCCAGCAAGAAAAAGTGACTTTAAAAAGAAAACTGAATTTAGAATTTCATGTGACTTTTTGTGAAAAGTTCACCTAATACAGCATAATCAATAAATATATACTAAACTAGGTGGCAACTGCCAATTTTCATAAAGATAAGCCTCAACCAGCATCAAGATAGTATTAAGATGCAAGATCAATAGAATATTAACAGGTAAAGAGGGCGCAGCTGCACTTTGATTTGAGATTGTGACGCTTATTCGTACTTGCGTACGTGATTAGTGTGTAAATCACCAACTGTACCTATCCTCGCACTCTCCAAATTAAGTTTCCGTGGTAGACTGAGACAAGAATAGGGATGTATTTCGGTAAAATACTCAACGAGTTTTACATTATAAATTGATTTTTTAGGGATCATTCTTGTCTCATTAACTTGAAAACACTTGTTTTTGTTACTAGCAAACAAACCTGAAGTGCTAAAGCTCCACTTTTTAATAAAATCATTAATACTACTGTGTATTTGACAAGATGTTCGAGCCGAAGCTGAACTGAGCAAAAGCTTTTTGCCTCACCTTTTTTGACAGAAGTGCAAAATTGTTTGAGAAATCGGTTCACATGCGGTTTAAGGAACGCTAGTCTTTCAGCATAGAAAGGTGTTATATGTGAAACTTTCGTGAGTGTATGTTAAATACCTCAGAACTACTGGAATTTTATAGATGGACTAGATGGCAAACCCGGCTCCGCCCGGAACCAAACTTTGCACACATACAATTCGGGGCAGGGAGCGTGTCATAGTCCACTTTTCGTTATCGATCGATGTCGATTTCACCGATTTTTTGCAAATTTTGAGCTAGGGGGCTGGGATTTTGCACAGGGGGGTAATCGAACATGCTGATCACCCCCACGGGGGTGATCAGCATGTTCGATTACCCCCCTGTGCCAACTCCCAGCCCCGTAGCTCAAATTTTGCAAAAAATCGATAAAATCGATATCGATCGATAACGAAAAGTAGCCTATGACACGCTCCCTGCCCCGAAGTATATGTGTGCCAAGTTTGGTCCCGATCGGTTCAGAAATAAAAATTTCTATTTCGCACATACGTACAGACAGACATACAGACATACATACAGACAGACATTCAGCTTTATATATAAGATGAATATTTGACATCGTGACCACCGATTTGTTTTATTCGTCGAGGTTACGCAAAGTTGAGGATTTAGCGTAAACGTACGGCAAAGATCCTCCTCATAAGTAGGTTTTACTTGAACGGATATGAGATGATCACTATGTCGACTATGTATCAAACAGTAACTTAAGCAAAAAACTATGCGGAATAAATCTCCATGACCAGCAAGTTGCAGAGCAAGCGTAATCTGTTGCAAGATTTTTGAGTTGGGTTGTGGGTGAGTGGGTAAAAACGTTCAGATCCACAATCAGCGCAACCCATACGCTGAATATGGGCCGGGATCAAAGCGCTGTTCGAAAGGTGCGGCATCATCAACGCTTAGTCATTTCGAAATCACATTTAGCATGGGTCGCTAAGTACACAAAGATGTTCCAAAAGCAGATCTACAACTCACAAAAACCACCACGACATAGATTTTTCCTAACAGATCACAACACGAACAAAACTCACCGTATTTCAGTTCGCAGATTTGGGCGTCTTTTGTGCGCAACTTGTCGCAGACCTTTTCCGCAGGCATAGACCAGGACAAAGGCTTGGTTACATCCACCATCATCGATGTGGCCGATTCGGGAAGAGCACCAATGTAAAAGCACTAAACAAACCATCATAGATTCAAACTTGCGATGCACAGTATCTACTGGCAAAAGTCTGTTGCTAACTTAGACAAAACTTTTTGAACAAGAGAATCTTCTCTCCAATTCGAAATTCCAAACAACACCAAAAGATTATTTGGCCAATTCTATGAATGCCTTACAAGAATGTGCAGACTATCTGTATGGAAAAAAGGCGCTTCATTACAAAAAAAAACCTTGAGCACAAGAGGAACTCTAAAATGCACAGATAATGTAAACAAGTTTACCCACCTAAGATTCTACATAACGTTTTTACTACATTCTAATTTGTAAAAAGGCGAGAAAAAACTAACGAATTTATGGTCCTTGTTGTTCTTGGCATCATCTTCGCAGTGCTTTCTGATGACTTTTCCAATCTCATCAGGCTTCGATTTGTCGGCTTCTGGTACTTTTGCCATTGCATCTGTCAGGACTTTTGTGCAAACTGAAAAACAATATATTCAATGTGAGGGACCACAACAATACAAAACTTGGTAGAACTAAAAAATTGCTCCTTACCTTCACACTTCTGTTGTGCTGAAGCGCAGTTGAACACCAAAAGTAGAGCTGTCCACAAGATGAGCATCCTGAAGAGATAAAATAAAGCACACCACCAGTATAATGCTATGGGCACATTATCAAGCAAAGCAGCAGCTCATGCAATCGATAGGCTGCAGACGAGAAAGAAAAGCGACACATTGCAATATGAAATCATCACTAACGACAAGAATCAAAAGCAACCAACATTAGGAATAACCCTTCGAACCTGATGTTCGTATAAATGCTTCCAAAAGCAACGTCATCATAGCCTTGTCGCTGACGTGGTACGCGCCCTCAAAGTGCACGACAGTTGCGCCAGCCGCCGATAAGGACGCGGAAACGCGACACCGTTCTCTACACGCGCATTGCGGACTCGGATAGTTACTGAAAAGGTAGTTTTCACTGATCTGTAAATAAATCAGGAAATTCCTGGATGGTGCACGATCAAAGCAAAATTATTGCAGCTCTCAGGGGATTTCTTTTGTGGTTGTTTGTTCAACTTGAGCGCAGGTGGGTCAACTGGAAATGATTCACCTTAATCTGGAACCATGCGTTCAATCCAGTAGAGGAGTGCGCCGGCCGAGGTGGTTGTCAGTATCATGCTGTTCTTTATCTTATTCAAGTTTTCCACAGCGCCAATACACACAGAGCTTGAAGACAGTGTCCGAGCAAAAACTCAATTTCTAGCAACTTCATTTACCCTCGATATCATCCCATATGTCTTCCCTCAACATGACGTGGATTACGTGGCTTGATGAGGCGCCGCCTCGCCTCGGGCTCGCGCCACGTTGCGAGCGCATCATTTGGCGCGACGTGGCGCTCAACACAACGTGGCGCAGGCTTTTCCGCGTTCTTCTTGTTGCCACATCACGCCGAAAATGCGCACGCAACGTGGCGCAAGACCGAGGCGAGGCGGCGCCTCATCAAGCCACGTAATTCACGTCATGTTGAGGGAAGACATATGGGATGACATCGAGGGTAGGTACCTGGGCTTATCCGCAACGCTGAGTTCGAAAATTCACGTTGGAGCGCGAAAACGGCGAGCATGTGTTCCCCAAAGCCACACAATTCGAATTAGGACGAATGAAACACTACCGCTAAGACTGAGACGCACACTTCGGGAGCCTACATCGTAAATTGTGACCGGAAATCCACCACCTCCTATTCAAGCTATCTTTTGAGGTCCACGGACGAGTGGCTCAGCTCTACTCTTGTCGAAAGCAGCGTGCTGGACTGTATAAATTCGAATGAGCTCAGCAGCTTGGAAGCTGGCTGCACACCGGCATGGACGGCCGTTCCAGTAACTTGCACGCCGATTTTCTCGTTTGGGATCGTTCAGACCGCGCACGAAGGCGCACAAAGGCCCCGTATGTTTGTTTCATTATCGATCGAATTGAAAAACAAGGCCTTCGTGCGCCTTTGTACGCCTTCGTGCGCCTTCGTGCGCCTTTGTGCGCGGTCTGAACGATCCTTTTTGGACCCCGAGCATACAGCCTGCCCCAATCGGGATCAGGCCGAACCGCCAGCTGTTTGCGCGCGTATGCAGCGCTAGGGATCTGCGCTGCATACGCGCGCTCGCAGAGAGCGAAGATTTGAGGAGAGAGCAGACTGGCTAGCCGTAAACGTGACGCATTACCCTCGCGAAACGGACTCCCGCCATGCCAATTTTGGCCTGGTTGGGATTGGGGCAGACTGTACGCGATTTCACTCACAACGCTATTCAGCAATACTCCATCTGCTTATAATTCATCGTAAGATCCACCAACATCCTCATGTACAGAAAAAGCCATGCCTCGGAAGTTATACACGCTAGGCTGAGAGTATTGAATTTACACAGAAACTGCGTGAAATGTGAGAGCGTTAAAGGCAGTGTTCGGAGGCTGTTGTGCAGTATCAAGCATCTTAGTACCAGACTACGATCTATCAAGAAAGTTCACACGTGCCCGGATAATTCCTTCAAAGGCACGTACACTCAATTCTTCGAATTCTAATTTGTCAGTGAGTGGAGTGAAAGAGTGATAGAGTGAAATAAGAATTTGGAAAACTTCTTCTATGGACCTACACTCCTAGAACCCGACGAAAGCATGACAAGCGTCGCAGTTTCGAGCTGTCGCGGTAAAATTACATTATTAAAACTTTCTAATCAGTGAGCATTCCTTGAAACAGTAAAGAGGGGAGCATTCGCATCAACAATCAAAATTTACGGCACGCCTGAGGCTTAACCGAGTAGACCATATAACCACAAAATAACTTCGAATAATTTATAATCATACTGAAACACTCAAAACATCTGAAATGCGGCAATGTGAAATGAAATTACATAGTTTCAAAACAAGAATCAAAAAATCAACCAGTTTCATGCATGTACTTTGCGAAATCTCGTAATTACAACACACTTACAATCCAAGACATGTGCCTACTTATTACCGTTAATCGCATCGCATACAACTTAAGCAGATCAAGAGAGTCATCGAGGTGCGCAAAGCGTAATGAAACCGCTTCGCAGAATGACAGTTGCCAAACGGCGATGGATCGTGACTAGTCCAAAAAAGCATAGATCTAGGAAGTGGTCAGTGAGTGGCTAAAGTCACACAGAAAAACAAAGAAAGCACATGATATGCAAAATAGCACAACAATTAGCCTGAGCGATGGTGGAGCGTCGAACGCGCAGCGAGACAGTGGAGAATATCCTGCTAGAAGAATCGGTGCCGCTTGACCTAAAACGATAATTCTGTATCTACACATCTTTCTTTGATAGCTTTTGCGCTGTATATATTTTGCAATGAATTACTAAGGGCACAAGACTAAAGAAAAAGACAATGTTGTGGAGCTAGAAATTCAGTCCAACACTGTCAAAAAACAAAACTATTTGAAACTAAGCTGAAAACGAAATTTCAATAACGCGAAATAATCAAACTTGTGCTAGAGATACAGGCTTTGCTGCTTTAGCAATGCTTTTCTTCTACTAGCAGCTTGCACAATAAGATCATCCAGAAAAGGGAGAGAACACAAGAAGAAATGAAGCTGTCAATAGATGACAAAAATTGGTCGAACACAGCACAATGCAAGCAGCTTACCATTAAGTCGACGAACTTCGTATCACAGACCATAATCGACCTAGTCTTGCTTGACGCACTGCATGAATCTTACATGCAACGGCGCCAATAGCAATAGAATTAGAGCAAGGAAAGGAGCAAATGAGATGATAAAAACCTGCAATAGAAAAAGATGGCAGAAATACGGTAATTTGCGTGTAGAATAACATACCGTATCAGTAAGAGGATCCAGAGTGTTAGACTGATGTGCAGCCACTGTCGAAGCAGCAGCATGGTTGCTGTTTTTCTTCTGCGAAGGAACAGTTCCTAAAGATTGAGGATCGTCGAGCTCAAGTCGGCCCTTCTCCGTCACGCAAACGGGAGACACTGCGATGGCCAGTGCCGACTCCAAATCACGAACGCGTGCTAGAAAAAGTAGTAATTTTCCACTATCATAGGTACGGAAAAATTTTGAGCATACCTTGAAGTTGCAAGTTATCCTTGAGGTATGATTCAATCTCAGCTCGTATCAGTGCTTCCCGTTCGTTGAGATCTTTGACATACTCGCATTTTTTGCATCCAACCACGTCTGAGATAATCGCATAGGCGACCAAATTTGCAAAAATAAACGCATGAACTCACCGCTAGCTAGAGATTCTATCTTGGGCATCTTCATGATTGGTGGTTCAGGCACAGCATCTGACGCTCCATTACGCTCTTTCAACATATCGTACAGCATCGTCAACCAGTGGTCGTTCTCATTGAGGGTAGGATTGTTGTTGAGGGCATTGACAAGTAGACGAACCAAAGAAGACACCGAGCGTTCGTGTTGCGCTGGAACGCATTGAATTTACCAACAGCTCAGCGAATAAGAGAGCATTCAACATTTTCGAAAACATACTTTTTGATTCCAATTCACTGAGACGAGCTTCCGCAGCACTTGCTTTCTCCTCAGCGGCAGATAGTCTTTTCTCAGCCTTATAAAGCTCTCTTTTAGAACGATTAGTGCGACTAACAATAAGTACAGTACCTCATTCAAGGCAATGTGATTCATTCCACATTCGTTTGCTTTCGCTTCGTATGCAGAAACGGTTTCATTGAGTCTAGCTTCAAGCGTTTGGACCTGAAGTTTGGATACTATGCAGCGAACACAGTATACAATTCATAGACGAGTAATTCAGGAGAAACACAGTTTCTGAATGTGGAAAAAGAGATAATCGAAATTTGCATTTTATTGAGGAAGTAAGCATCAAATATCTGACTTTGATTATGGTAGAAAAAAATTTTTTGAGCAAGTATTGAAATTACTAGCGCGATGTGATCATACCAGTAAATAATCGGACTTTAATCTGGCGTGTAGTTAACAACTCACTCGTGATCGAAGACGATTGCACTCTTCTTCGGTCGACACCAAACTGCGGTCAATATCCGCCAGTCGCAAAGCAGACTCTGCTCGTTCTTCTTGAGCTCTTCTGAAAATGCAGCGCCGTTTACTGGTATTCAGTTAATCGGATATATATATATCTGTCTTGATGCTCACAGATGATGATTTCAATACTTGATCGAGCAATTTACCTCAGATGTTCCTTCGACGCTACCTCAAATTTCGCTTTATCTTCAATGAGATTGACAACATCTTCCCTGAGTTTGTCCGGAGTAGCATTCTTAGCGAAAGTTGCTAGCTGTGCCTCAAGAGTTTCTATCCTAAAAAAGACTTAACGACAAGTTCTCAACATTATAAGTAGGAGAGATACTATGGGAAAGTCGCAGACAGATGCCGGTGTCTACTTAAGCGGCAGTGGAGAAAATTTTAACCACAGAATATTTAAGTTTGATTGATATATCACGATGTAACTAAGACTCACCTTGAAAGAAGCCTATCCTCATTCACTAGGGCTTTCCACGCTGCTTCTGAAGCATGTTCAGTTGCTTCCAACATTTTTTCAAGAGCTTCTAGTTTCTGCTGACGTGCTTCCTCTCTTAAAAAAAATAGAGAGTCACAAGGCAGTATAAATCTGAAGAGTCGATCAAATGTTTACCTGTAAAGCGCCTCCGACAGATATTGTTGCATTTGAAATAACTGATGATTATTCACCAAGGAAGGCTCAGTGGAGTGAAGCATTCTGAATTCCAGATGTTGTCAGAGACAGAATGAATCAGAAAGCGAAGTGAAAAAATGTTGAGCAGTCGCATACCCATTCATTTCACCATTACTCAGTGTTCCTCCTCCTTCAACCATCTGACCATTGGCGTCAAACAGTTGTACCATAGCATATATACATCCATGTGCAACTGAAAACTGAGGTTTCAGACAGCATAAGACCTAAGAGCGCTGCGTTTCAATCGCCCTATCGCAAATTGGACGGTGTATTTGAATTGCACATCCAATCAGAAAACATGAGATTTGCGCAGAAAATGCTAATTTTTCTGACTCACTTCTTCAATGAGGAAAATCTTGTAAATAAGACACCAATGTATGTTGCACTATTTTCAAAACACAGCTTTGGTGCCGCTAGCTGCAAGAAGGCTTCAAACCTCCAATATTGAAGTGTGTTCTCCATCATTCGATCTTGTCAACGAGTTGAGGTAATCAATTCCTTTTGAGTATATTTGGTAGATGATCAGCACATGTACTCGTAAACTAAGGTTAGAGCCCGTTTAACGGAAGTAAGTAAAAATTGATCGAGGCAGGGAGGAGGGGCAAAAAATCGCTAAGTCGATATCGATAATCCCAATCAATGATTTTCTCAAAGAAAATACCTACTGAAATTCCCCCGCCCTAAAGCTCATGACTGCAAAGTTTGATTCGAAATCCATACATCTTTCTACCATGTCATGCCGGTCATTAAAGAAAGCTAAGCAAAAAAACGCAAAAATCATCAACTCGAAAAGCCATTCTCGGCATAATGGATTATTGACCTAGGTACCACTCAAAAATTACAAGCGAAGTATAGGCCAAATTCCATTCTTTCTATCATTTGACGAACACACAAAAATAAGCCAAGTATTCTTTACGTATTGACAAGTATTGATATCTACTGCGTGTTCAAGCATTTGATGGCTCCCTACCAACGCAGAATCGCAAAGTTCGGTTCAAGCGCGATTTTGAAAGTGTAACAGGTTATTGTGCTAAGTATAAGATACAGTTCAAAGGCAATTCAGACAGCGATCTTTTGCGGTAAAGATTGCACAAATGCAAAGAGAATAAAGTCACAAATATTTAGCAGAAATAAAAAACACACCTTTATTAGAGTTCTCGACTATTTCCACACCAAACTGAATTATGTCGCCCGTGAAAATCTGTCGTGCTTCGGATTCTTCGCCTGTCACAGCCAACCGTTCATTGTTAACGAAAGTTCCATTACTGCTTTTCGTATCACGCAGGAAAAAACCTCCATTACGGTATGATAACACTGCATGGTTTCGTGAAAGCACCTATAATATAAGGAAATTGCTTGCTGGAAATAGAGGCAAGAAGATAATCTACTTTGCAATCAAAAATAGCGTTGTCTTTTGCTGCCTTCAATCTGGCGACGGCTCGGCCAATCTTCAGCGGATCTTCATCAGGGCCGACATGTGCCCGTCGCTCCTCAAAGGGGTGAGACTTGGCGATTGGCGACAGCACCACATAGGGGCCGTGCATCGCTCTTGCCTGCAAGAAGCTAATTTTCCAACCTGCTAGAAAAATAAGCGAGCGGAATCCATCACGAAAGCCAGACAATATCTCAGACAAGCTACAGTTAAGATAAATTAGTTCAGGATAAAAAAAAAAGAAATGTGCCGCAGTACCGCTGAAGATGAAACAGCGACGCACAATAAAATTTGACGATATCGTCAAAGACTAAATTGGTACAAGAACAAGAGAACGAGAACAGTAAAAATGGGGGAAGAAGGCCACGTGTCAGCAAATATGGCCGATATTGTGGACATACACCGTTGTAAAATGGGCTAATAAGTACCTGAACAAGCAGAATGGAGAACGTTATTATATTAGAGCTTGAATGAGATTATCGCTTCATTCGCTGCGGGAAGGTGATATAACACAACACAAAAGTTGCACGCGACATTAAAGAAAGTGTGAGATCAAAAAGAGCTAAATGAGTGTGCAAATGTTGCTTAGAAACGGCGTAACGAACCTGATATCGACTTCAGACTTACTTGACTGAGGTAGCGAGCGACTGGTTGAACCAGAAAAATAGGTACTATTCCAGTATACCGACCCCAAAAATTAAAAATCTCGGATTTCGCTCAAACTCGGTATAGGGGGGTTATTCGATCCGCTGATGCCGAATATCATATTGATTCCGTGCGATAGCGCCATTTTCCGGGGGTTACTGTGGGTATACGGTAGGGGGTCAAAATCACAAAATTCTCTGAAACTCGGTAAGAGAGGGTTATCCAACATGCTGAACACGAATACGATATTCATTCGTTATGGTAGCACCTCATTCCGGGGTTACGGTGGGTATACTGTAGGAGGGTCTAATTCACTGCCTTCCACACCCACCTCTGCGCGCGATACACCCTGCGGCGGCTTTTGCCTAAGCAAAGCAGGGGGAGGAAATTTCCGACGTGTGACTGAGATTTCAAGCCCTGAATCTCGATCTAGCGCTGGTATTGGTATTGTATACCCAACGTAACGTCGGAATGAGGCACTATCGTAACTAATAAACATCATAATCGTGAACAGCAAGTCAAATAACCCTCCTACACGAAGTTTCAGCGGATATCGTGATTTTGACCCCTTACCGTATACCCACCATAACCCCGGAATGAGGAGCTACCGTAACGAATGAGTATCGTATTCGTGTTCAGCATGTCGGATAACCCCCTCTTACCGAGTTTCAGAGAATTTTGTGATTTTGACCCCCTACCGTATACCCACCGTAACCCCCGGAAATGGCGCTATCGCACGGAATCGATATGATATTTGGCATCAGCGGATCGAATAACCCCCCTATACCGAGTTTGAGCGATATCCGAGATTTTTGATTTTTGGGGTCGTTATACTGGAATAGCGCCGAAAAATATCTTCAAAAATAAACCATAGCTGCAGTGTGTGATGCATATGTGCAACATGCACGCGAGATATTTTGCAGCAAAAATGATCTCTTTCCATCGGAACTCTAAGAACGATAGGCTCTCGTACTGCGAATATAAATGTAGCCCCTCGTTATCATTACATAAGGCATTGAAGTGAATCCAAACAGTCATGCAAGAATTTATCTCAAAAGCAAACTCGCCAGCTGGTGCTTTAGCGCACCTAAACCCCCCTCTAATAACAAGCTCAGCAATAATCAATATCTATAAGGTAGATTTTACACAACTCCAATGAACCACGAACAGCTAGAAATCGTCTCAGTTACAACAAAGAAAAAAACAAAAATTTTACCAACATCCAGTGTAACTACGATTTTCTCAAATTCTAACTACATCAAGAACCTGAAGTTTAAGTACAATAACAACGAAAGAACTGATACCATGAGCCATCAGGACTGGAGCTTCATATTATTCAATTAGAAAAGTGTTTCCAATTCAAGGAAATGAATTGAACGCTGGTAAAAATTTTGCGATTCACCCAGAATCCCACAGTAAAGAGACCATCAAATCAGACTAGCTGAAAAAATCCTGGAGACAATATATCACTCTCAACTTCTACAAAATGGCTCTGATACAAACGCTGATGGACTGTGGGAACTGCTGGATAATCTCTTTTTTCATTTTGAAAGCACAATATGGAAGCAATCATGCCAAGCACAATAAACGCAGGAGTAAATCTTGAAGCATGTTCAAATCGTGGTTGTCAATCAGACTAAGCGAAACAGACAAATCAGCTTATTCCTAGACAAGATCGATATGATGAAGACAGTCAGACTAGACCACAAAAATCAAGTCATTTCGACTGTTTCTATGGTTTACGGCGTATTACACATTTCAAGCTGAGAACGAGCGAGACAAGAAAAATACATCATCAAAACCTCTACCAAAAATTCTCAAAAGGCTCATCGATTTCTGGGGGCGTATGTCAAGGCGCGATATTGCCAGATGGACATCAATTAGCGCATTTTCTGTATTTCATAATGTTCCAAAAGCAGATTAAATATGTAACAAGATATGTATCATCACCCATGGATTGCTCGATCTTATTATTTGAGAGAGTTTCACAATATAGGTGCTGCGGAGTCAAAAACCCGTGAAAATATAGATAATGGCGTTTTTGTAGATTTTTCAATCAAGGTTTCACTGAAAGCAGTCAATGTTAACAAATAGTGGCTTTAAATAGCTAACAAGCTAAACCACTTTATCTGGTACTAGCTGGCATACCCGGCTCCGCCGTATGTTCCGAATAGAAAAATCCATTTCTTAACCGATCCGAACCAAACTTGGCACACATACACTTCGGGCCCCGGCGGGTGTCAAAGTCCACTTTCCGTTAACGATTGATGTCGATTTTATCGATTTTTTGCAAAATTTGAGCTAGGGGGCTGGGATTTGGCAGGGGGGTGTAATCGAGCATGCTGATCACCCCCCTTGAGGATGATCAGCATGCTCGATAACCCCCCTGTGCCAAATCCCAGCCCCGTAGCTCAAACTTTGCAAAATCGATAAAATCGATAAAAGTAATGCACGATTTTAAAAACTAATATTGTATTCGGAATCCCCATGCTCACTTACCCCCTTGTGCCAACTCCCAGCCCCGTAGCTCAAATTTTGCAAAAAATCGATAAAATCGATATCGATCGATACGAAAAGTAGCCTATGACACCCGCCGGGGCCCCAGCTTTATATATAAGATCTTTGAAAGACTCTCCTTTCTCTAAATTTGGCTGTTAAACAGTGATTTTTGGAGAAATAGCCTCTTGACCGTCTTGACCGTCTCCCGCTTTCTGGATGGCTGTGAGGTGAGACCAAACCAAGGGAACAAAGAACTGCACTAATGGATGTAATGCAATGTTTCATTTAGGCCCGAACAGTGTTTATATTGAGCAGCATTGGTCTGATCAGCATTAAAATTCACAAACAGCGCAGAACGCTACTTGCCGGCAAAGACATTGAAAGACAGACGTCATTAACTAGACCTTCAAATCGCGGCCCTCATAAAGAAACGTGAAGCACATTTGTCACTTGGTAGGAAAAATATGTTTGCCGCATGTGAACAATATACGCAACTTCTCGGCCTTTGCTCGCCACCAAAAGTAAGAAAAGTTCTCGAGTTTGACGCGTAGTTGCTGCCGCTCAACTAAACCTAGAACACATTGCAAGACGAAAAAACTAATATCAGGTTTCATTTCAGTACTGCGAATCGAACATTTCTGCACTGAAAGAAGCCTCCTAGATGTTTTCAATCAATTATGACAAGCTCGGAAGCGAGGTGTTTTTCGATTAGCAGCTGCGAGCAATACAGAGATCATTTCCGGTTCGCATATAGTAGGGTGGAGCACAAGTGTCGCACCGAAAATTCGAGAATACCACTGAAAAGGCTTCACTTCAAAAAATAAACGTATACAAAATGAATTTTTCTTTTAGATAAGAAAACTTCCTTTTACAGATCCAAATTCGAAAGCCACCGCTTTTTGTAAAGATATCCAATCAGTACAAATTTATAGCACCAAGGAAGAGTAGATGATGAAAAAAATAGTGTCGACATTAAGCTTCACAACAGCGATTATATTCTTAGCACTTGTTCTCACAATCAGCATTACTGAACAGCGTATAATCTCTTCCCCTTACCTTATATTATATCACTTGATTCATTAGACAGAGGAGCTTACTCTCAAAATGATGCAATAGCTATATTCTGATCAAACGATGAAGACTCTCCACTAAGTAGTAGGGTTTGATAGATTTTGTTGCACAAATAGAAAAATTGATTCGGAATATTTTTGAGGTCAAAACTTTGGTGACCCAAGTCACGCTTCGTTTTTATGAGGGATAAATCAGGAACAATGGTTGAATACCTTCGGCCTGAAGATAATTTGTTTGAGAAAAAGGAAAAGTAGTTTTGGAACACAATTTATCCGAGATTTGTGCCTTGGTTCTTTCATTTGCTTATTGTATGGAAAACCACTTTCTGGGGGTTCCAAAGGAAACATGAATCTTCACACTGTTCAATCAAACCTTGGCCAAAACCGGAAAAATCACGAGTCTCAAAAATGGCGGAACAGAACATTTTTTTTCAACGATCTGATTAGCAATAACTTAGATACGTGTAACGAATGTCGAAGTCCGTGCCTAAACTATGCCTACAGATAGTTGACACTTTTTATCGAGTACTAAATCGTAAAATCTTTTCTAAAGGCAAGGGGTGGCAAGGCAAATTCTATGTCTTTTCCCAAAAAAATGTGGCCACTTTCGTTGCAATATTATTTGAAGAGGAAAGCTGCCAAGGACGATAGTGAAGAAAGACAAACACTCCACTGCCTACGACAAAGTCATCAAATCTCATTGAGATAAGGTTTAATGAGCTATTGTGAGATGTGCCATTGTATCACATGCAGTTTGAGATAAAACAGTTCTTGTTGGTCACTGTAATGGCCAAAGTATCATTACTGAGATTTACCTTGCGGCTATTCGCTTAAGCAGATATACATACATGAGCGCAAAAACTGATACACTAACAAGACAACGATAATTTGCTTCTTCCGATTTCATTAAGCACTATGAGCGTGTACAATTCACAAATCATTTTCCCAAAAAAGTGAAGCATAAAAGATTGTTCGCCGCATTCCCAAAGCTACTACAAACGCAAAGCTTTACTCTTCATGACAAAAACGATTCAACTGATTGAACCCAAACCATTTCTTTTAATTCTGTGGCCCAGCAATGACATAAAACAGGTGCTAAGGACAAAGTATGGCAAAGAAATGTCCATGATCTAACAGCGTTTCAACAAAAAGAGCTATCATAGTTGTCCATGCATGTATGGAGCGAATTATGAAAACAAGTCGATGTGTCAATGCTGGCCAAAGCTGTCGCTGTCGTCATAACAGGGTAAGCACCCAGATTATGGTAAACACGCTGATCAAGCCCTTGAATATAATAACAGCGTTTTTGCATATGAATGCATGAAACAGAAATGTTCATTGTATAGACGATTTGCTCAAGAATAGGTTATTACACTAGAGATACTTACCATTTGATTAAACTGGCTTGGCGGCTGGAAGGCGGGACTTCGTGACCCAATTAAGGCTAGGTAATAATCAGAGAGCACGCGTACGGGAGAGACGCAGACTGCGTTGCGGGCGCGAGCTGCCTTAACTAGGTGACAAAGCTCCACCTTCCAGCCGCTAAGTTGAATCAAAGGTTATGTGTAGATCGTTTTTCAAAGCTTCGAATGTTTACACAAATGATTTCGTGGTGGTGTACGACTTATGATTCATAGCTAGCCTATGCTTCTTATGTTCTTAGTTATTGGGAGACAATCATGATGCAATGAAACACTCCGGCATTGAGAAAGCGGAATCTGCAACTATCATAAGAATCATCAAAGAAGGTATATTAGCAGTCTAGTCTTTAGCTTCGAAACCGGTCCAGAGCGTAAAAACACGAAAACACAGTCTATACGATGATTTCGTACTTTTTTCCTTCTCGAACACAAGCAAACAGGACAGGACGGGTGAAAATGGCTCCTATCCAACTGTCATGAGTGTGAATTAGGAGAAAACTTTTAGCCTCGAAGCATTGTGTACTCCTCGTAATCATACGATGTGCTCACAGTACTACACTCTAGACCTACAAGTGCCATAATTCCAACTAACTATAGAAAAATGGTCTCAATAAGCAAGGATGCAAACGCTCTCATACATAAACACACAGTCACTCACATTAGCTGTCGCGGAAACAACCAAAAAATTCCACTGTTTGTCCTATTTCAAGCATGTATGCACGGCGAAAAGTTGAAGACCCAGTTATAGATGAAACTCTGCTGGAAGGGCAAAACTGATGATCATCCCATTATCAAATCCTCATGTTGAATGTAAGAAGATTCTAGACAAGAAAGAGCGAATGAAATGACTCTGACCACGGAAAGAAATTTTCCATTGAGAGAGCTTGAAAGGCTTGAAATATGTGAGATATACGATACAGTTTCACCGTAGATTGCAATGATAGAAACTAAGAAAGCATGTATCAGATAAAGTGAACAGCACAATTTCTGCTGACAAATACCATTCATGGATATCTGGTGAAAGTGATGTAGCCCGAGGAACAGCATCAAAAGTGATTTTAGCTTCCATCACTCGCAAAAAAAGGAAGTGAGTATCACTCATTCGGACTAAGATATATGAGCACGCTTTGTGTAGTTTTATTAACAAGCTTGAGAGTGCGTTTTAACGCGTTTCGCAGATTACTATTAGAAATCCATGAAGGAACACGTGCAGACTTGGTTGTTTGAGCTCGAACATGTTTTTTACGAATACCTACTAGTAATGTACCAAGAACGCCTTCAGACGCACAAACTTGTTAATCAAATGTACGCAAAGCCTGCTCGTATCTCTTAGTCAATGAATGATAATTAGAAGAGAAAAGATGGGCTACTTGGTGCGATGATCGGACAGAAGATGCACCAAGTGGAAAATAATATGTGCGAGGAGCTTTATAACACCTTGGAGAAAGGGAAATACAAAATACGCTGTAAAACTTGGGAGAAAAATAGCAGATGAAATTTTCCTTTTCCTAGTGCACAAGGACAATTCTGGGCACTGAAGAGCGGCGGTTCCACTTATGGAGCAAATTCGACATCTATTTCGAGACCAGGAGATTCGAGAACTCTTTGTTATGTCTAACATGTTCGGACTCGTTCTTTTCCAATTTCAAGTAGTAAATGATCTCAGGTGAGTAAATCACAAGTATGAACTTGTTAGTCACATGTTCTCAACGCGGGTTTCCTAGCTAAGCATCGTGGTTACCCGTACTTTCGATGAAGTTAAAATCGGTTTAGATTCGATCTAATTAAAAAGGCACAGAGAATACCCCACTCGGGCGCTTTAGCGAGCTAAAAGCAGGGAACTGGAGATACGTATGCACTGGACTAACCAACTTGAGTATGTGTCAAAGCATGCATAGATATCCAGACAAGCAACTATGAAAACATATACACTTTGCGAGGTCATCAGAAGAGGATTTGCCCCAGCCAGTATCACCCAAACCCTCATTTCCACAGGAAGTCAGCGTTTTGAGACGTTCGAAGATGATACCTAGAAGAGAACAAGTGCAACACATGATGCCCAAAAAACTCGACCATCACTGAAAATTCAATACTTTTGATGGAACCGCCGTCAATCGACGAGTCGATCCCCGTCTTGAATTCCGTTTCGCGGCGGAGCGCAAGGGCAAACTCGTCCGCGGTCGCGATCAGCTGCGGTTTGCGTTTGGGCGAGCAAACCACCCACATGTCGGAGCTCACTATCACAGACGTCACGTCTTCGCCCGAAAAACGTCTTTGCCTGAGCTATGAGTGCTGCGGAGGTGCGCTTTTTTCCATATTAAGATCTGGTTCAGTCCATTTTGGAAAGCTGAGCAAGCTTATCTTCCAGACAAGCCCCGATAGCAAGAATGAAAAAGAGACCACACCTGAGCCAGGCTGTAAACTGCACTGTGATGAAGCCGTGGAGCAACGACTGATGTCGCAAATTGATACTAATTCCGAATGTGCTTCAGAAGTCGAACTCAAGAAGGATAACACTTCTAAGTCCGATCATCTCTTGTCAACGATGACGAGCTCTAATGTCGATCTTCCAGTCAAAACTCCAAAAAAGTGCTTGTGATGATCACCATCACTTTCCTTTTCTTCTTCGTCGAACTGACTGTGGGATTTCTGAATCGTTCCATCGCGCTCTTGGCCGATTCTTACCACATGCTATCGGATGTAATGGCTTTGATCATCGCATTCGTATGCCTGAGGGTTAGTTACTCACTTTCGTTAGTTTTTCGGATACCATTTCAGTTAACCAGAAAACTCAGCTCCAAAATCCTTTAATCCTTGTTTAATATACTGATTACTGATATTTATGGGCATTACTCATTCTTCACTGCCTCTCCAAGTATGCCAGAGAAAAGTTAGGATTGAAGTTTCAAAATTTGTTCAAAGTTTGCATGGAGAGATGTCTGGCTCCCAGTCATGGACCTTCATCACTATTTAAGGGGGGTCTGCTGAAGTTAGATTAAAACCACTTTGCATCAACCCTGAAATTTACAACCAAATGTGATACCGCGATCAACACGCTAAGTTAGCCCTTTGTGAGAAGCTTCAAAGGCACCGTCTACTCAAACTGATGGTGATGGTGGTAAAATTTTGGTATATAATAACGGGCTTCTCACCAGATTATCACCTATTAGGTCTTTCTGCAGAGATGAATTCGAAGCGAGAAATCGCTCTGGAATGTAAAAGCGGCTTTTGTGGTCTCCCATCAAGTGAGTAATCTGAAGATAATGTGCCTAAATTGATATTTGTCAGTCGTAATGAAGGATGTATTTCCAACAATTCTAGATTATAGCCTCTCGGCCCAGACCACCCCCTACCATGGGAAGAGTGACCATCACGCCTCTACCTTCCGCGGCAATTTTTTCTCTTCAGAATCCATATTTGCAGCAGGACTTGGGCGATTACATACTTATTCATAGGTCATGCCAATACAACCCTCATTCCTCTACCCTCAGATTGTCAGGTGCCTTCAAGGTTTCACTACCGCATAGCCTACTGTAACGACAAAGTAGGATAGAGCCATCATTTTTTCCTCGTTCCTTCCTTCTGATGTCAGCGCCTGCGAATCTGGTGGAGCTGGACTACTCCTCCTCTATAGTATCACGTCTTTCTCTGCGACGGAAATAAACACTGTCACGGGTGACGTGATCTCGAAGTATTTGCGCTTGAGTGTCATATATTTGCACAAGCTCTGTGATGTTCGCGATATGCTTTATGGGTTGCTTTAGTTGTGCTTGCACATAAACATAAAGGTCGATGATAGTATCATCGATTCCACGATTCGTGTAGAGCGGAGTCTTGCAAATTCGAAGCGTGACGGTTTTTGGTAGCGAAAGAGTACGAAAAACAATGCTATAACGTGGAGGTCTAACTAGTTAATCCTTATAATCTGGGAAAGTCCACAACCCGCCTCTACACGAATTTGAAGTCGGTCGTGAGCAGTAACTATTCAACTCTATGTTCAAAATGCAACTGACTTGATGCTAGCACCCACAACCACTGCTAAAAGTATCGATATGATAAGCAAAAGCTGCGCTTTTTTAGTCAGAAAAAAAAGGGAAGGGGATGAGGCGGTTTCTGTCAGTAAATGTGGATAAATACTTTGACACCGTGCAAGTAATTCTTGGCTGTTGAATGTTGAAGCTGTTACGACTGCTTCGAATAATAATTTAGCGCACATTATCCTTGTGTTGCCGTCATGGCAGCTCTTCTTCCGATTAAACCCCATGAAATGCGTGGAAACATTGAGCGGCATCTGACCAAAGTTCACCTGGCCATTGAGACTAGAATTGTAGAAGAATTCTCACCACGCTCAATCGGCATTCTTTTTTGTGAATATGGATGTGTCAAGCTCGTAGTTTGCTGTATACATTGGAAAAAAGAGCAGTGAGTACCACTCTACATAAAACAGGAAGAGTGTGTATATCCCTTTCAGGGACCCAAAAAGTGTAGTAAATATTTTCATTCTTTATATTGTACTTTATGGAAAAAAGACGTATATTTCAGATATCGAGACGAAAGTCTAAGCGGAACGGTTTTGGCTGGGTTCGAGCAGAGGTGCTTGGGGCTCTTGTGAATGGCGTATTTCTTCTTGCAATGTGTTTCACAATCTCACTGGAGTCTATCGGGAGGTTAATCCATCCAAGGCGAATCTCTCACCCGTTGCAGGTATTCACTTGTAGCCTTCAGATCGTCCGTTTACTCTATATCCATATGGGAAGTGAAATGTGAAATGTTCTTGAATTAGTGAAGTTTAATCGTTCACTACTTGAATATGACACATATGCTCTAGGTGCTGGTTGTGGGATGTATTGGTCTATTAATCAATGTGATCGGAATTGGTCTGTTTCATGGTGGTCATGGACACTCTCATGGTGGCACCGTTGGTCATGGGCACAGCCACGGAGAGGTCAGTATCAATATAATTACATGGCTTGTCAAAATATGAGTATTTTTCTGATATATGGATATTCTAACTTTTTCATTGTGTGGGGGCAGCAAGTAAAGACCGCGATGGGTTATGGGTTGGGCTCATAATGGGTTATGCTCTTTTGCTTAATCGCGGGCACACTCACAATAAGCAGGATTTTAAAAGATCTAGGCTTTCTAAAATCTTCTTTGTCATCTTTTTGATTCTTTGACAGTACAGAAATCACCCACAAGAAGTACCCAAGAAGTCCATGCTGAGAAGAGCTCAAGGACAAATAACAACAACCATGATGATGGAGATATCGATTCCGACTCTGATGGAGCAATTGTGGATAGACCAGGACGTTCTCGAAGTCGGATTGGTCAAGACTGTTCTCATAATGTAAGTTCTTTCCAGGTTTTTATTGCTTGAGGTATGCCTCATTGCTAAGTGAGCTGCGGTTTTGTTGGAACAAATACTTGCTAAGTGCTCTGTAGCTATAAGTGCATCTTGAATACTTCTTCTTTTAAAGTTATTATAAAGCTTACTCTAATGCATCATTTCAGTCTCGCTGATTTCTGTTAGTTGAATAAAGCTAAAGTGCAAAGTTTCAGCTGTCTCTTCTCGTTGGTAGTGGATCGAAACAAGTAAGAACTCCATCCACCTTATCTCAGAACTGCACAGCGTGACTGCATGCGTTTTTTGCATGATTAATGTCGTAGTCGATAACCACTATCATCGCATTCTCCTCAGTCTTTTTCTTGCACTCTTTAGAACGAAGCACAAGGAAGGAGCACGGCTTTGGCAAAGTGGATAAACAACGTTCTGTTAGCTACAGAACTGATGAATGCACGGAACGGCCCTAATGCTGCATTCAGATTCCGCCGCACGTTAACTGTAGTGAAATTGTTTATTTGATGTCGCTGCCGCGGGTTGGAAAGGTGTAATGCTTGGAGCTTACTCCTCTTACATATCTCGTACTAATAAGCAATTTCGTTTTATTATTTGGTTGCTGCACTATCACCTTTTCTTGTGGTTCGCCTAACACCGCTGACTGTTATGGATCTTTCTTTTCAACATGCATTCGTTTCAGCATCTGGCTTTGAAACTTGTAAATCTTGATGAAAATGCTGAAATTGAAGAGTTCACCGATAGCGAAGCGGCTAAGCGAAAACAGAAACAAGCAGGTTAGCTAAATTTCTGTATCGCGAACGATGACTTGCAACTTTTATTTCAGACGCTGAAAATCTTAATATGCGAGGCGTATTCTTACATATCATGTCGGATGCCATAGGATCGGTATTTGTCATTATCACTGCCTCGCTGGCTCTGTTTTTTCCAAATGCCCTGGGACGTGTGAATGATTATCTTGACCCAGCTTTGAGGTAAATTGATAGCAAACGACACTAAAAAAGTTTACGATACCGTTCTAGCTTGACATTAGTCACCCTAATTTGTTTCTCCGCCTACGCTCTAGTCAGGGAGACCGCCAGCATCATTTTACGACGTCCTCCAGCCTTCCTTGACGTCGATGATGTGAATGCTGATGTTGTGAAGGTATGGAAATATTGACAACTGTTTCTTGATGTTTCTCATCAGATATTTTATTTAGATTAGAGGCGTTGCAGCAGTGCGCAGTACATGCGCGTGGACGCTTGTGGGCAATCGTCATTTGGCCACCGCTGAGGTAAGAATTTCGAAGTAAGCATCATTTTTCCAATAGTAAGTTCTTTCACCATGGTCTATAAGCTTGGCTACTTCCCGGGTTTGAAGGTGACGGGATGTACATCCCATTGAAGAACATATTCTTGCCTATTCACATCATTTTCTGACTGAGTATATTAGCATCTGCATAACTCGTCTAGATTACCCCACGGCCCTGGCCAGGCATCGCTCAAAAAGCTCCGAAAAGCGCCCAAAAGGGTCCAGATGTTTCTAACCTCTCTTCACTTTCGCTATCTCTCCTCACACGTAAACGTGAACAGATGTTGGAGAAATTTGGGCTCTTTAGGGCTTCCGAGTGCTGTTCTGGCCCGGCCCATCACCATCGATTTTTCATATAGTCATAGCTTTATTTACTAGATTGAATTCTGCACTCCTGCAGCGTTCGACTCAGCTGCTCCCAAAATTCGAAAGGTTTTTCATAAATACGGGATTCACTCACTGACGATACAGCCAATCTTCTCCTCGGTATGTCTTCATCACCATTTTGTAAGTGTTATTATGGACTTTTACTAATTTTGGGCTACTTGTGCTCCTGAAGTGCGTGCAAATCATACGTTAGACGCTATCAAAGAAGACCTCTCGGATAGTATGGATACGGTAAGTATAGTCTTATCTGCCTATATCGGACATCGATCAAACGGAAATGTTTAGCCGCTTCTTGAGAAGAACCATGAGTAGTCGAGAGGGAGTGGATCTGAATTTGTCATGTTGTTGTATCTCAGTCTCTTGTTATTGTTCATTACACTGTATACTGTGATCTTATGTGCACGTGCCACTCGACGGTAGTATCGGCTTTATTTTTGCATTTTTACTTCTTGCATATCTACTTTGAAGTGCAGGTATGCGTATAGGCAAGTATGTTCATAGTTTGTTCGCTGCTGTACTTTTTTCTAACCTACTAGGGTTCGTCTGTATTGAAAACTCATCGAGCTTCATGCACCAGGTCAGTGGCCAGGTAGTTACTCAGCAATACGATAACAAGCTATTCTGATCGATTTTTGTATCGACATTTCTCAAATTCACTCTTCCTGTCTTCTTCTAGATTTGAAGAACGTGATATCATCAAGAGCAACGGTCAACAGTTGTCAACAAGATGTGCATATCAATTGTTGCCGTTCTAATAAACAAATAATTCTTGTGTGATTTTGCTTTCTAAGACAGGCGTCACCTGAAAAATCTGTTTTACTACCTGAAGTTGTTAATTCAAGCCTAGATCTATCAGGGATTATTATCAGCTAATGGATGATGATGCCAGCTATTCGTGTTCCACTACCGTTGGTGCGACGATAGAGATCGACGATGATGTAGTTCAGGTTAGTTTTTTTGATGTCTCAAACATTGTGGCCTTCCTGTATTTGTATTTAACAAACATTGGTGTTTTGAGCTCATGGAATACTTTGATTCCAACTATTGTGCAGATTAAGTGCATGAATAACATCTGTCTAACCCTAAGAGACCGTCATATCTCGCCGAGAAAAGCCCAAAAGCGCCCCAAAAAAGCCCGAAAGCGCCGGAACGCAGAAACGGACTTTCGGGTTCTGGCATTATTTTGATGTGCAGACGACAGAAAATGAAGCAAAAAGGCTCGGTTGCGAACGCAACACACATGCCTTGGTGTCAAAAGGGAGGAGGCGTTTCGCTCTTTCAAGCTTTTTTGGGCCTTTTTAGGCTTTTTTCGGCGACGTATGACCGGTCCCTAACATTTGCTCCAATCTAGGGATTCATCGCTAAGGAAGTAGGAAGCAAAAAGCGCGGACCTTGGATACGACCTCCCTTGCGATTAGAGGATATACGATTGCGCTGCCCTGACTCCCTAAGGTTTGCGTTGAGCCAAGGTTTTTTTTTCCAATGTATGAAGAGACTACTAGAGTGCTCTTGACCTGGTTTAAAACTTCTTAAGAATTCGAGACATCCGAGATGAAGTATTGACGCTTCTGTGCTCACATCTCAATCTTCCTTCCTATGGATCCTTAAGAAATTGGGATTCAGTTGGCATACAATTAGGAATGAATGATTCTGAGATAGTCGTAAGTTTGCGTTATCTACCGAAATCATTTCTATCTTTTGGGGCCAGTTTTCTTGAACCAAGGTTTTCTTTTCGAGTTCAGTGACCGTATTCTCTTCAAATTCCACGCACGAAATCTTTGCAATGACCTAGCCTAACGCAAGAATGTTTTTTCAGTCACTTCGACATGATCCTCGACCCATGGAAGCGGTGTTGAAAAGATGTCGAGATCGCCCTGCAAAAGACCTTGTTAAAGCACTACAGATTTGTAAACGAATCGATTTGCTCTACTCTTTGCGCAAGTACCAGCGACAGGGAAAGCTAGAAAAGCCTATTGAAGGTTTTATTTTCATGGATTATCATCTAAATTACCGTCTACTTATTTGTACTTTCCTAAGGAGATATGCCTCTGGATATATTAAATTTACGCCACATTTCAAGTATAATGACTGATCGAATAGCCAATGAGTTATCGTTCAGAAATTCTTGGAGCGCACTCTGTGTCAACTTCATTCGTTTCGTCATCAAACATTAGCGAAAATTCATACTCAAAAGGAGGAAAATGTAAGTTACCGAAATTCAGAAGCCGGTAAGGGCACGTTTTGCCATTGTCAAATGTGTAACCATACTGCCTAATCAGACGCGCATGTTTATGCGATGTGTCAGTTTTCAGTTATAATGTTAGTACACTATGAAGCTAGTCCAGAGGAAACTAGGAATTACAAATGGCTGAAGAAAAACCTCAAGTGAGTCGAGTTGCAGTTTCATCCTCTGCATCTTGAAAAGGAAAAGAAGTCTGTGGCTCGATCCTCTTCAGACAGTATGCTACTCAGCGAGGTTTTGCTATTGTGGATATTGCAGAACTGGATGTTGATGCAAATCTGACGATATCAGTAGAAGACGCTTTCGTAAAGGTAAGCGATTGGCCAGCAATCAAAATGGATCATTCAAAGTGTCACTTCTGCTTTAGGCTCACCAAATTGTGGTCACTTTCACGCCGTCTCATATCGAAGCTGTAAAATCAAGAAGTAGTCAGTGTAGAACGATCATATACACGCACGATCTTATGAATCAGGAATTCTTCACATGTAACAGTATCAACAAACGCTTTCGAGCAGTAATTTTTGATGTGAGTTCTGCCAAAAGTTTTCATGCCTCGTAATTTACTGAGCGTTAATTTTGTGAGAAATTCAGGACATCCAACTTAGTGAACTTCCGGTAGGTTGGCCACGATCAACGCTCGTTTATCATTTTCCCGCCAACATGGCAGCGTTGTGCACCAAAATCTTCAAGGAAAGTGATCTCGACAATACTTCCACATTGTAATGGTCCACAAATGCTCTATTCGTTCATTGGTTCGTATCATCATGCTGTTTAGAAACGGGTATTTTCACCATGCAGTTATATCACGTGTAAATATGTATTTTCACAAGGTGTTCAACAAATAATAAGAACAAATGAAGTATAAAATTTACAGGAACCCACCTACAAAAGTTCGGGATAAATTTTATCCGTACACTGGTCAAAATTACAGTAAATATATGAGACTGACTAGAAGTGGAGCATAGGAGCGAAGAACATGAAAAGTAGAACGAAACTCCTCAATTATGCATCACAACCATACCCTTGACAGAAAAGAAACGAGAAAGATTAGTTCAAGCTTGGCAACAGCGAATAAATTGTCATCATCAGACAATATTCAGAATACTCGTACTGGAGGATTTTTGCAACATATTTAAGTAACGGAATGATAAAACGGAAAGTTTGCAAGAACGACTTCCTACCTTTTTTCCTATCAATATACTGGTTTATACTTTTTGAGCTCTACTAGAATGTGATGTATATTGACCATGTCATTGCGAGCTGGGTTGTCTCGGAAAATTTCATGTGACACTAACTTCGTGAATCGCTGAACGTACTGTACTAGTTGAGTGAAGACTGCCTGGAAACACTCCGATTGATAGAGAGGAACTTCAAGGCAGAATATAAGTGACGAGAAATCAAGGTGAGATCAAAGCTTGCTAGCAATAATTTTTCTGGTATGTGAGGCGCTTATACTAACCTGCAATATGTTCGTTCCATTTTTGAAGTTTGTGAATGACTTCACAACCTCCCCATTGATAGCATCAATAGAACGCCGCCAATTTGCAGAGAATGATTGTACCACTGCCGTGAGCTTATCTATGATATGCAAGTTTAGGTTGCCGACCATTTTAATCAAGCTTACAAGGGAATGGTCAGAAGTCGAAATGGCTAAACCAAACAAGTTATATACCGTTCGATGCAGTATAAAACGCTGACTTCGGATCCGTCTTCCTTATCTGCTTATCGTTTCTGTGGACGAAGCTACAAGCAGTTTTATTGTGAAAAAATCGTACCATAAAAAAATTGAGAACATTGCTGCACTTTTAACTCAGCTTTGGGCTTTAAGAATTTGAAGTAAGTTAGCTGCATGTTTTGGCCCAGCATTAAGCCGAACGTGGCCCTGTACGGCTAAAGTTTCACTTTCAGCATAATTTCTTAGCAAAATAATGACCTTCAATGACTTATAGCTTCGTCCAGAAAAGCGATAAGCAGATAAGAAAGACAGATTAAGCTTCATGCTGCTCCTAATGGTATGCAGCTTGTCTCGATTGGTCACTTCGATTTCTGACCATTTCCTTGTTATCCAGTTCTAGCAAAAAAGTGGGTAAAAAAGCTAAGAATACGATTAGGAGACACTCACCATTGTATCTCACAAGCAAATGTGTATGTCCTTGTTGTACTAAAGGCTCACACTCACTCACAAATGAAAGCAGAGGAGAAAAGTGTGGCTGCAGAGTGGCCTCAAAGAAATTGTCTGAGCAAGCGAGTGGACACAATTAGAGAAAAACCAACTTCTACGAATTCTCCTATAGCCTTCTGCTCTAGTTCATGAATGATCGAGTGTATTCTGCTATCTTGCACAACTCTTTCCTGGAACGAAAGCGAATGTATTATTATTTAATGAGTGAAGGAAGGATAACAACGAGGTTACAGGAAGACTCACATCGATTATAGTCAACGTTAGGTCGTAATTGTTGATCAAGAATACGAGCCGATCGCGAGCGGACGGCAATGTAGCTGACATTCTAAGCAGTAACTGCTCCACAGCATCTTCACATGATTCTAGGACTGCCTCCATCTTCTGTCCAACCTGCAAAAAAATCTAATAAAGGAATCAACAGTGCAGAGCTTATTTCCAAACCTCTCGCCCACTGGACTCCGTGACTACAAGAAATGCACATGTGAGTTCTGCATAACGGCGCACTATCTGCAATACTTAAAATGAATGGTCAATAGCAGGACCAAAAGCTAGGAAACATACATAATGCGGCCTAGTATCTATAGCTGTTTGCATACGTTTCACATCGAGCGCCTTAACGCTGTCGTTGTGCATTTGCATTACTTGAGCCAGTCTCGTCCATAATTGATTTGAGATGGTTTCCCAGTACCTAAACACCGCTAAATAGAAAATCTTATATGGAGGTCTAACTGAAGTGAACGAAGATGAGAGAGTCAAGAAACCGTAATGGTAAAAGACGCACCCACTCATTGATGGCGTTTCTCTTTCTGTCAATAATCGATGGAATTTGTCACACAGACAGATGCACAGATGAAGACTGATGCAGTCAAAGTTTGTTGCAATTTTCTCGTCAAAAGCTCGAATAAGGTAAGCGATAGCTCTACCCATCACCTGGAAAAGTGAAATGTAAAGAAATTCAAGAATGACTAGTAGTTACCTTTGCATGCAAATCTATTGCTGTTTGTCCTGAGACCATGAAAAAGTCTATAAGGAAAAGAAACTCATGACTGCAGTGGTCAACGAAAGCCAGATGGATTGACCGAAATAATGCTTCGAATTGGAACTAAAAAACATTGACTTTATATCAAAAGCAAAACGAAGGATATAGAGATAATTAATGAAAAACTGAAAGGAAAACTGTTAAACCTTCTGATTGGACTCCTGCGCAGCGTGAGGAACGATGAGAGGATTGAGGAAATCGTGAGTCAGGATTTGCTGCCTGGAACCCAGCGAAAACACTGTCGCCCTGTTTCGATGCTAAATGATGATACAAGTATTACAAATTTTTTTGTAGACAAGAATTGATGTAGGCTTTACGTAGAAATAAACTTACATGCGGTTTTCCTGAGAACAATCCCGTAAGACCACTCGATTTCACCGAATCCTCAGCGCCTAGTAAATCTTCTTTAGAGGCCGCGTCTGACATCTGAGTTAAAAATTTCAGCAAAGAAGACTGCAAGCTTATCTCTACTCACCATCAGTTTGAAAAGACGAGAAACGTAAGCTTTGAAGTAGGAAAAGAACATCTTGCTTATTGTGTCAACGTACTCCTCTTGCACCTTTAGCAAAAAACAGTCTTGTTTAAAATGAATGTACTTGCTTTGAGCATCAAACCTCCTGAGCGATGTTGCTTTCATTTGCAGACAGGAATTCGAAAAAGAAACGATATTTCAGGAGTTGATGCTGGGGCACTTGATAATTCGATAGCGGCTTTCGGAACATGTAAATTTTCGTCAAAATCCATTCTCGTATCTTTTCGACAGCCTTAAAAGTGGATATTGAGCAAGCAATAAGATTGCTTCATGTTATGTACCTTGAACTTAAGGCTTTCCAAAACGCCCATCACATCGTAGACAGCGCGAGCATCTTTGAACTCCTGAGCGCGAACAAAACTGATTTTGTGCTGCAGCTCGTGAAGTTGTTCCAGAAAGCTGCGATCGCTAACATCCGCTTCCATAATGACTCTGAATAAATCTGTTAAGTAAAAAGACACAAAAAAGATCAAAAATCGTCTACTTGATCATAGCTTGCGGTACGATGATATCATCAACAAACTGACTCAGCTCTCCGCGTACCTTTTGGCGATTCTCCAGCTCCTTAAAGAAAAGCTTAGTGATCGCGCTAACGCTTATTGAAGCAGTGACAGTTCATCCAGAACAGAATCAATACAAGGCGTTCAAATTATATGATGAGACTATTATAGTAATACATAACTGCTCATTTTACGATGAAGTAATCTCAAAGCATTTCGTACCCTACAGACCGTCAGTGATATAGTGTAGGTGTTCACCTGATTTATAGAGACGGACTGATCCTGCAGCCTTTTCATATCCTCACTGATAGTTCCTAGATCATCTTGAAATCGCAATAACATCTTCTCCAACCGCTGAAAAGTAAGCTTGGTCGTGTATATCACTGATGATATGAGATGGACAGATTTCGAAATGGTCGAAACAGTCGAAATGTAGGCTTGGTCGTACATACCTCGAAAACCTGATCACATGCCACAATCTGATTGTGAAGGTCTGTCAGCTTTTCAGCGTTCTGTATACATTCCCGGACAGCTACTTTATGTGCCTCCGTCAACTCTTCCTTTACCTGCGCTGAAAATTAGGTCAGATAACGTCAATTAATGTGATTTTCATTACTCAAGCGTACCAGAAAAGTTACTGAGATCTTGCTCAGCAGAAAGAGCACTCCGTACAACATTTTCATCGGCCACAGACAATTCAGTTAGGCAGTCTTCTAGAGATTTGACCTTGTCCGTCGTTTTACCCTTTCTAGCTGCCATCTCTAGAGTTCTGTGGCGTCCGATAAAAGAATAAGAATCAATACAGCTCTCAAAAAAGGAGAATAAACTTCCACTATCTGCGGACTAGAGATACTGCTTGTGCAATAATGAGTTTCACCATGCACTTCTGTGGAAAAGCAAAAACATAAAACAGCCGATTACATTCACCTCTCCTTCGTCTATGGAAAATGTGTTCAACTTCTTCAAATCAGAATGTTTACACCTTGGTTTCCTGGACCCCCACACTTGTGTGCTACAGATTTTGATAGAGCCCGTTCCCAGAAGAAGGCGACTACCCTTTGAGCGAAGCTTGCGCGGGGCCTACGTAATGATGAAAACAGCTGAAAACAGCCGCCGCGGCGTTTGTACACGGCCGTAAAATTAAATGCGGCTTTTCCGTCACACAACGCACCGTATTTCACGCCGTTATTCATAGAGCGCAGAAACTTGGGTAGGTGCCAGACTAAGCGAATATTTTGTTCAGCTGCAAAAGGCACAGAGTTAACGTTGATTCTGCACGGGACACCTGCAGCTGAAGCAGGCCTTAGCAGCAGCAGACATCAAAGGCAGTGGCTCGGCAAATCTCAAGCTAGTCTGCGCTTACCTGGGTAGTTCAATACGCTGATCCATCCCGAAAATGCACTTTTGAAAGCTTGAAAGTGACGAAATGAGCGTTTTTCAATGCCCTTCCCTTTGATATTGGACGAGTGGAGCAAGGCCGACGACGCTGAATCGTGGCAGGACCCAATCGTTATAGCATTGCGGCGGGCAGCCTCCAATGGTGAGAAGGAAATTGCCAACTCGTCCGGATGCGTGTAAGATTGGCCTGCGCGCGTAGCTTTGAGAGCAATTTTCTCGGCACGGAAAGCATGCTGTGCAACCGGGATTGCACCGTTTTCATACTTGGGCGATAAGGAACCTACTGCGTTGAAATCCTGAATTGTTGGATTTTGCCGATCCACTGTCTTTGTCTGTCTTTAGGTCTTTTAAGGCACCGTCCACCCAAAGTGAGGGTTCACGAGATTCAATGGCATACTAATGTGGGCCCCCACACTAAGCCAACCTCCAAGTTTCCCCGCAAAAGATTGCTTCCGAAGCGAGAAATCCGCTCTGGAAGGTATGATCGTCTCCACAAATGGTGTGGAGGTGTATTGCAGACTTTGCCTGATAATACAGGTAAACTTGTTAAACCTCCACGTCATAGCATTGTTTTTTGTTCTCTCGCTATCAAAAACCGCCACGCTTTGAGTTGGCAAGACCCGCCTCTACCCGAATCGTGGAGCCGATGATACGTGATACGTGATCCAGAGCTGGTCACTCCGCCCATTTTGCAGCTTTGGGGGCTGCGGCGCTGATATACGCCGGGCGATAACCGCGCCGCAGCCCTGCAAACTGCACTTCCATCCGTCCCGCTTTCTCCAAAATAGGAGGTTTTTGGGATTCTCGACTTCATATTCGAAATCAGGGGCTTTAGAAGGCCCGGAAGCGACAAAAACATGGAAGTCAAGAATTTGGATGGACGGTGTCTTTAACATTAATTCTGCGCGCCTTTTACAGCTGAACAAAATAGTCGCTCAGTCTGGCGCCTACCTTAAAGGCCACTCGAGGGCGCAGAAGCCATATTAGTTGGGCGGGCGCAATTTCGGCGTGCGCGTATTTTCACCATTGCTAAAACCTGCGCGTCATAACTGCTCTGCGGCTAAAAAAGCCGTGCTCACTCCCAAGGGTGTTGCGTCTTCGCCGTGCAATGACCTATGCTTACTTATTGTTAGATACTCACATGGCCCGTCCTCACGTGACGTGGCCCCGGTACAGAAGTTGCCATTGATTTCTTCCCTCGCGTCCAACGTCCACGGTCTTATTGGTCGTCGTCGGTAGAGGGGCAGTCGTTGATCCGTAAAGCTTTCGACGTGACTACAGTGTCGGTCCAAGTCTCAGCTGCGTAATAGAGCGCCGGGAGAACGGTTGAGTTGAACAGGTGGGCACGAAGCTCCGGGTCCGTCAGTTGGTCGGTGGATTCCTTCGGAAGTCCGAAGGCGGCCCAAGCTGCTCTTCTTTTCCTGTTAAGTTCTTCCCTCAAGTCACTCTCCATGTTTGAATGGGTAGCTCAGTAGTGCGCATGTATGGTCCCTTCCACATTTGCTGCTACCCTTCTGGCGTCGCGGACGTGCCACGTGTGACTAACACGTTGGCAACATGCAGCAACATGTTGGCGTGGCCAAAATGTTCTGCCAACATGTTGCTGCATGTTGCCACGTTGCCAACATGTTAGTCACACGTGGCAGGTCTAAGATGCAGACCAAGGGTAGCACGAGCTGTGGAGGGGACGATATGTATGATGAACATGTTAATGCGAAGTGACTGGTAGACTTGATTAACTTTCCTAGAATGAAACGTAATGTGCACAGTTCCACAGGTTGACGTGCTGACCTGACTCTCGTTGGCCAGAGAAGAGTTCCATCCCATTAGGTGCAATGGTTTTTCGGTCAATCTTACATTTCCCAATGATATCAGGAAACAGCAGCTCACGGCCAGAACGTGAGCCTGTCGTGATCGTGAGCTCGCCGTCATGTCTTATGCCAACATGCGGGGTGAATTACTACGGGCCAAGATGTATGGAAAACATAGCAAAAGCAAACGATTAGGAACCAGACTTACCGAAGCAGGAAATCACGCAGAACGGCTGTCGCGTAAGGGGCGCATACTTCACGCGAATTCAATCGCGACGCGATTTGGCATTATTCCAGCTGTTTACAACTCACTGCAAGCACATTTCAAATGAACAGAAGATAGGGCACTTTATCAATCCACGTAAATTATACACACTATGCATGTTTTGCCTAGTATTGGATCTGAGGACTTCTGGCGATTTGCCAAATCGCGTCGCGACTGAAATCGCGTTAAGTATGCCCGGCCCTTAAGTTGGGCACAACGTTATCTAAAACATTTTACCCAATATCACAGAAACAAGCTCCGGGAGCAATATTGACGAAAACAGCGACGAAGTGATCAATCCAAACGGTGCAGGCTAGATATCAGAAGAGAGCTCCGACGGCACCAAGGTCCCAGAAGGCAGCAGAGAAGTGGTAGAAGAGGATGTCTTCTGCAAAACTTTAAAACCAAGCGCAATGCAACCACCAAAATACGAATTACCCCGCCACCAGGAAAATTTGAATTTGTTTCGATAACCATCGCAAATCCTTAGCTGCAAATACAGAAAAGATGCATTTCGTGCTTCCTACATCAGCACTGCAGTGCATGGTAAAGGTACAGATGCGACATACTTCCTAGCTGGCACACTCACGGAAGTCAAAAAATGCCATCCTCCGGATCTATGCGAAAATATGGCCAGCATACTGAGCAAAGACATTATTGGAAACCCGCATTCTGGCCATTCGGGGCTATCGTCACACTAGCGCTAATCTTTTACCTCGGAACAATCATCCCCATGATCATATTATGGAGTATTTGCGCTTACACACATCGTAACATAAGCAAGAGTATGGAAGAACCCCAGCAAGGGTTGTGCACCTTCCACCCAATTCCTCTAACCAAGCGCACAACAATAGCAATCATGCTGGTAACACTAATCGGGATAACAGAAGTATCTGCTTGCCAACATGTACATATGCGCAAAACGGTAAAGATGGTATGGAAATCAAGAGGAGAATGTGCCTACACATTCAGTGAAGAAATCAAATTTGATAAACTACATAAAGAAATCTGCATACAAACTCGACATGCCAATACAATTGTAGGTATGATAAAACTAACAAATGAACCTATGCAATTAATGTGTAAGAAAGAATCGCTCTTCTTTACAAGAAGCACGAAAGTCAATTTCTATCGCACGACTAGTCGCGCTCAGACGGGATCATGTCTACAAAATGCATGCAATAACATTCTGCCCAATGCTACCATACCAGAGTTCGCGATGGCATCAAATTACCCAGGCTATCTCGCATGTAATCAGACATGCGGCGGCATCGCCTGCGGGTGCTTATTGCCCCTGCCCGCATGCTCATTTCTTCGCCTCGCGCAAGTTCCAAAAAGTAGGTCAGTCTACAAGTTGTTCGCTGCATCGAATGGTTCACCGCAGCGCAGATAGCAATCGATATCACTATGTATCACTGGGGTATACAAAAATCGATAAGCCTACAGCCGTATATGAGTCAGAATATAAGCGGGATATCCATAACGGTGATTTCCATCCGGAAAGCATTCTCGTCTCATGGATAGAAGATTTGCTACTTCCAAAAACGAAGGCCTGATTTTACCTAAGGACACGTCATTCCGTTTGAATGCGATTCAAAAGAACAAGCATTAATGAGATTTTCGAATTGCGAAAATCGTATGATCTGTATATACGAAAATCTCAAAGCTTTGAAGGCATAATTGCCCTCCGCATTCCATTTCAACTCTTCAAAAAGATGTCGCAAACATCTTGCCAATCACAACTTCATTTACAAACATGCGCTTAGAAAATGAGGAGGTAAACGCAATAATCCTATGAAGGCGAAATGACCATCGCTGGAGTCCAATCTGTTGGTAAAAATTTCTACCACATCATTAAACAGCCTTGCAACATGGCCTTTATAGCACTGAAAGGATGTTATAGCTGCTAAAGGGAGCTCAATTACAAATAGCATGTTTCACTTAGATACCCTCTTGGGCAACAGTTCAGTGCGAGACGCAAGAATTTCCGATTAAATGCGGTGAAAACAACACAATCAATACTATATCAATGGAATTTAGTAACGCATTAATCTTACAGAAATGTCACACGATCTCAAATGGTCAGATGTGACATTTGAATTACGAGGGACGCTCAGTTACCACCACCGAAGCAAAAAAGTACTGTGTTTCCCGAAGAAAACAATCAAACCCTCCAAATTCAGTAATAACAGATTTTGACTTACCCGGCCTTCAACCCCTTCTAAAAACCATGTCCGAGCACTGGAAGTTAGCTATCAGGACATTCGCTACGGTTACCATGCTCATCGGCATGACATACCTATTTGGTCCAACAGCCATACTGCTAGTATTCAAAAATTGTGATAAACATACTTACATCAGTTATATGCATTGCTATCCTCATTATAAAAAACACTTTTCGAATGTTCCATCAAGTGCTTAGTGAGCCAACAACACTACTTAGATAGTCGAGGGGGGCGCGGTCCGCAAACTCGCGCTTTTCTGCAGGCGGTCAGCAGAATTTTGGGGCGTGGCCAAACCTTCAGCGGGTGGTACCTCCTTTACTGTCGGATGTCCTGCTAGCGGGGCAGAATACAGAGTTTTCTGCCGCTCGTCAAATAATCTCTTTCAGCAGGCGCTTGGACTCTTTTTGAAGGCACCGTCCACCCAAAATTTCGACCTCCATGTTTTTGCCGCTCCAGGGCCTTCTCATACTCCTCATTTCAAATATCAAGTCGGAAATCCGTGAAAACCACAAAAACCCCCGTCTTCACAACCCGTAGAGCGATTTTTTCGGAACGGTGATTGGTTGAGCGCGCACGGATGGGCGGGACGAACGTCACGCCCACCCGAAAGGGGAGGAGCCAACGTGGCGAACGTCACCTGAAGCGATTTCCGAAGCAATTTTCTCGCTTCAGAAGCAACTTTAGGCAGCGCAAGTTGGGCAATTATATAGTTGGGGGCCCCGCAGCTGCTAGGTATCATAATCTCACCAACCCCGATTTGGGTGGACGGTGCCTTCAAGCAGTTTCGGGCGTACGTCGAGCAAATGTAAGATTCTATGCTGCAGAGGTGTCATCGATGGTTTAATTACTCAAGTTTAAGGTACTTTCTCTTAGCGGAAAGTACCTGAGGGCTGTGCGGTCCTCCACAAAGGACCGCGCGGCCCTCACTAATTTTGCATATTCTCGCGGAAAGTCCGCGAGAATGCGGCCAATGTGCCGCAACTAATCTGTATGAAAACCGCGATAGTTCTCCGAGCATTCGTCTGAAAATTGGTCAATATTCCTCCAGATTTCTGCAAGAGGGCAGCAAGAAATCAGCGAACTATTTTTCCGGTGCCCGCTTGCTCAAAATTCGCATGGCCGCCTGCCCCTCGCGATTATCTGAGTAAGAACATATCAAATTACTCAGAGATATTATACACAATTAGCCATTCCTCCTTGCAAGTAAACACATGCTCATACCATCATTTATCCAAAAAAGTGGGCGGAGAGTAAGGCTATATAGATATCAGAACATCGCAAGCTTCTTCAGCTCATGTCCCAACTCGAAGACTTACTTGAAGATATTGATACTAGCTCAGCCTTTGCCCCCATCGCGGCTGCAATCCGCGAAATTCACCTGCGTATGGAGTCCACTCTGGAATGCATGCTACGCCAATAGAGTTCAATCGAACTGTCTTGCAACGAGCTAATCAGACGATTCAAGCCACATTCCATGTGGATTTTGTGATCTACATCAAAACAAAGATATGCACAATACTGCTAGATGCAGCCGATTCTCGGATGCAGTCGGACGAGCTCTGCAAGCAGCACGCTCAGATAATCCACCGGAACTTCCGCAGGACAAGCAGAACTTGCAGCGTTTCCGCAGCACTTTCTTAACCATTGAGAAAGTGCACGCTCCAAAATGCGAGGTTTCCGCAGGAAATTGACGTCACAGCGATCGTAAATCGGAACTTCCGCAGCACTTTCCATAAAGTGCTGCGAAAGTGCAGTGAGGCCCGTAAGGTTTCCGCAGCACTTTGACCTGCCAGCATTTCCGCAGGATTTTGAGAGCGCATGCATTCGCGATTGCGAAATAGCGAACGCAACATCAACAGCGCATAGCGCAGTCTTTCCTTTCATACTGTTTCGCTTCAGTTCCTCCTCTTTTCTTTCTCTTTTTTCTTTCTTTCTTCAATGTTGGAGTAAGTAAACTTATACTCATCCATATTCTAAGTATTCTTGCAGGCATCGGTGCGGTGAAACACCACCAAGCTGCTGGAATGCTGGAAAAGGACTCAACGGAGGGACTTCATTTAAGCACAACGCCATTGTTCAGGTATGCCGAACTTCTTTCCTTCATGTCTCTTTACTGTGCCTTTTCCAAAAACAAAACCGAGAATTAGGAGCAAATAAAGAGAATTACTTCAGTTTCGCGGTGGGGGGGGGGACGGGAAGGTCATGGGAACATGAGTTTAGTGACCTTCTCTAGTTGAGAGAAATTCGTGCCAATCGAGAGCAGATTTGATTTTCGTAGTATTACCGAGTTTTCGGATCTGATTTCTACAAAAATCAAAATTGCTTTCGATTGGCACGAATTTCTCTCAGCTAGAAGGAGTCACAAAACCCCCATGTTCATGACTATCCCGTCTTCTGTGACGTTTTTGGGCATTTTTGAGCATGCTCAAAAATCGCAAAACTGAAGTAATTTCTCTTTATTTGCTTCTATCCTAATCTTTATTATTTATCTCAATTATTGTTTTTGGAAAAGGCACTGTAGTAAAGAACATAACTTTTCTATCGGAAAATACTTCCAGAATTTTTTGATAATCCTGTCGAAAGGAAATTACGATTATTGAAAAGCTGGCGAACGTACTTTTGGCCCCACCTAATAGTTGCGGACAATTTTCGAAGGAGCTGTGCTAAAAAAACCGAGGTGGTACAAAAATTGTAACCGCAAAAATTCAACAATTCCTAAATTCTCTTTTGCTGGAAGTGGCCACACGCCCACGAACTCAAAAGTTTCAATATCTCTCTCTCCTCCCTTACATAGATTTCTCGCGCCGCCACTGCTTTTCGTGTGTCTCTTTTCTACTCCTTTCTGCTTTTGATTTCCAAATCTTTTCCCTCTCACAGTACCGCACACATCATAAAATAATAATTTTTGATTCAAAGATAAAAAATTTGAAACTCACGATGAAACAAAAGCCCGAGAAATACGAAATCAAAATTTTTGAATAATAATGTTGAATGATTAACTAAAATAGAAATAATGTGGTGGAAATATATCAAAAGAAGGGGGCGGGGCATAATGGGTCTCAAGAATATTCATAGCATCTGCGACTGTAAATGATGAATGATCAAAGCCCCCCCCGTGAAAAAGTTTATTGCACCGCCACTGCTTTAATGTATCTATCTATCCTTCTCTACTCTCTGTTTTTGCTGTTTTAAGTGCCTTTCTCTCTACCAAACTCTTCCTACATCTTCAACGGATCTGCGCATGTTTGTTTTCGAATTCGTGTTTCCAATAGTACCTACCTGAAGTACTTTTCAATAGAAGCAAGTCCCTTCTCAAAATTTCTACGTTTAATCGCAAAACTGAAACTCGCAACGGAGATCGGAGCATTATAATTTTATAGCCTGCTCTTTCTGACTGTGCCAAGTTTGCGCTGATTGAACTCTTTACGAAAAGTTATGATTTTCGAAGCAAATGTAAAAAAATCATATTTTCTCTTATCAATGGATTCCTCAAAAATCATAACTTTGCAAGAGACGTTCAATCAGCGCAATCTTTGTAAACTCAAAAAGAGTAGGTAGTAATAGCTATGATACCGATTGCTTCGATTTTCTGCAAGGAGATTTTTGCGATCAAACATGGGGAATATCAAAATGGAGTAATTAATTTTCTTCACCGACTTCGATCTGTGGAGCTATCAAAAAGTGCTTCAGGTACCATTAGAAAGAGCATGTCTTCTTTCAAAATAAACATGTGCAGATCGGATGTGAAGGAAGAAAGTTTTGAATTTTTGAAAAGGATAGGGACGAGCTTTTGGTTCATTAGTATTATTTTCTAAGTAATAATTTATAAAAAAATTCAACAATAATTTATAATAACTTTCCCTTACACATACCTGCCTTAGAGTCTGATACAAACCTGTTTTGTGTAGAAAATGCTGGAATATTAGATTGCAAAAGTTCTGCCGCTCCAAATTTGAGAATTTCAAAAAAAAATTTAAGTCGAAGTAAAGCTTTGATTTTTGCAGAAAACTCTTGTAATTTTCAAATCTGTCTCAGAGTTTCTCCTTTTCAAATTTCAAAATTTCCCAAAATTTCAAATAAATCGTCCAAATTTGCTCCGTATTTTTTGGCGAAGAAGTTGCAAAATGGAACACTTGCGGCAAGGCACGATTTACATCGAGAAATTTTAATTAATCTCATGACAGAAGGGAAGGGAGGCCGAAGCCGGCTTTGGTCGCGCGGACAAGGTCAAAATGACACCCGATAAGTGGAAACGGCTTATTCCCCCACAGGACCATCTTCCCTTTAAAGCGCATATTGTCCTTTGTGAATGAGATTATTCTTGTTTTTATCTTATTCTTCCATTATTCTTTACTCTTCCATAGTATAACATGCTGTTCAGTTCCTAATATCTGCCTTTTTCCAACCTCATTCGGTTATGCATATATACTCGAATGCTTCTGTGATTTTATGAATGTGTATCTATGAACACTTCATTGATGTGTTAATTTGCAATTATCAACTTCGGCCTATTGTAATTCTATATGGTACCTGCATAAAACAATACGCTGTGCCATTTGCTTTCTCATTAAAACTGTCTACGTCTCTTAGCATCTAGAAAGTCTAGAGGAATTTCCACATCAAAGGAATAATGCCTTAATAGAAAGCGAAAACTTAGTATTGGAAAGGAAGACCTAGCATCGAAAAGGAAGCTTGATATGGAGGAAACGGATGGCGAATCAAAAGCGAAAACCGCAGAGTGCTGCGGAACTTCAATCAAAGTACTGCGGAAACCCTGTGCCCTGAGATTGCAGGGTTTCAGCAGCGCTTTCGCAGGGTTTCCGCCGGGTCACCTGCGGAAGTCCTGCGAAAGCGCTGCGGAAGTTCCGGTCGGTTGTCTGAGACGGATTGAACTATGTGAAAGATGCTTGAAGGACAAGCATTTTGACGACTGCGGAGTAAGCTGTGTACATTGTGGTTTACCACATAACACACTCCTCTGCAATAATCGTCAGCGCCCTGGCGCCTTCAAGCGACGACATACGTGGTCCACGACTCCCTTCGGCCTTCTTCACCTCCATCGCCCACTCCAACTCCATTGACTACAACGCCATCGACTTACTACGGTGTCCACCAAGAATCAACAAGGAAGTGAAAGCCATTATCTTCTATGTTTATAATTTTTTTTCGCGGGACCGGAGTGTTCCTGATTCCAGGAACCCCTTCCCCGCGCCATGTGCTGTATCGCATCATACCCGCCATATGTGTACGCATAATACCCTTTGTGGCCATGCTCGGGCCAACCCGAGGACGGCACTTGCGTTTTGTGTTGGTCCGGCATGCAGCCGGCCTTATGTTGTGAAGTAACGATAAAGATTGAGATTCCACTGAACCATTTGTAGCCCGCGATATACCGTCTTCTAGAGCATAGGACGCTAATGTTGGACCAGCTTTTGGTATCTGCAAAGCGCTTCTGAAAGAGAATTTATGGAAATTTTTTGATACAAAAATTTAAAAGCGCTGCCACAATGAAATCATTCAGAACTTCAGTCCGTGAGCTCAAATGGGGCCATGATTACTAACAGGTTTTATGCAATAAACCTCAACCTAATAAACTCATGTCATTTATTGATCATTACTCCTTACAAGCTCCAGAAAGACCTTAACACCTGTTTTTACTTTATAATCATTGAATTTTCATCTCAAAAAATTCCCAGAATTCCTTTCTCAAAAGCGGTTTGCAGATATAGGAAGTAGATGGAATCAGCCTTCCATGCTCTATAAGATGGTACACATTTCATATGGAAACGCCACTTCGATGAAGTAAACTTCTTGTAAGATATATCATGATCACTATTGATGATAACTATTCGATTAGGAGTGTTATAATTTGCAATTCACGTTGACCAATAACCAACAAGCCTTCTCGCCTGTTTTCCTTGCGCATAACCATGGAATAAAAGGAGTTTGCACTTCACCTTTTGCTCATGTAACAAATATCCCAAAAATAGCGCTAGGCGATTCCTTCGATTTTTTTGATTTTTAGAACTCGAACTTCTTTCGAAGAAATGAGAGTGTGATGGTCATCGTTTCATTATTGAACAGAAAGCAGTAACACAAGTAACACGAGTAACAGAGTAACACTGGTAACACTGGTAACACTGGTAACACGTGCAACACTTGCAACACTTGCAAGCCCTGACCGATCCCTCAAGCAAGTACATATCGTAGGGATTGGCCGAGGTTACAGAACTTCCTAATGAAATTGTTAGCACCCTGTTATGCAAAGAAATGGTTTGCTATGTACAATTTTCCTTAGCGAAAGGAAATCTTATCACATTGTGTAGAAAACGCCATCTTTATATTTCGCTGCCTTTCCCTGAGGTGGTTTCATTTTCAGCGGAACCAGTCGCCTGTAGAACACAAGTGTGAGTAATAATGCGAAACCCAGAGTGAAGATTTGGATGACCATAACGTATTGATATCCCGACACTTTGAATAAATATCTGAAAAAAATTGTTTTAGCAAATAATCTCGAAGATCAAGAGCTGATTGCTTACGTAGTTATAATTGGTGCAATGAATTGAGCTAAACTTCCTCCAAATGAGTGCAGACCTTGCATGGTCCCCTAAGCAGCCTTTTTTAGAAAAATTTTATAGTCTTGACGATCACAAGGAGGTTTTCTGGCACTGATGCAGCTGTAATCACGAAAAACCTTACCTGTTTGCGAGGCCCAAGAATCTGCGAGTATAACGTTGCTGAAGGTGATCCCGTAAATGGAAATGATATTCCGAAAAAGAACACAAAGCAGGTAAAGTATATTGGAAATGGTACTCGCACTGTATCTTTACACCATGTGTATGATCGAAGACAGCCTCCTATCTCTGTTGTGTTCTTGCCTGACAATTCATCATCTCAGGAGTGCGAAATTTTACTGGTGGAACTGCCTTCCACCCTATAGGTTTGTCACCTCACCTTCTGGAACGTAGTCCAGGGGTCCAGGATAGAATGGCCAAGGATAATTGAAAACGTGGAAGAGAAGAAACACAGTAATCCCAAATATTATCTGCTTCCGTTTTTCACTAAGGCAAGGTATTAACATGTGTGATAAATTTTGGAGAAGAAGCACAACATGGTAACATAATGGCTTTTCATCATTCACTTTCAGTCACTGTGTTTTTGAGCAAATTTCCTCTTGGCAACTCCAAGTTGAAAACACCAAATTTTGAGCATCAACTTCAAAAATGGAGCGGTTATTAGGACTTCAACTACTAGACTTCTTTGGTTTTCCTCCATTTTCACAAATCAATGCGTCAGTCGGCAGTGTTTAGGCAAAACTCAAAGGCAGTGGCTTGGGAAAATTGCGACTCCGGGCTTTTCACGACTACATGGCCTTCTGGATCAGCTGAGTCCGGTCTGCGCTTGAAAGGTCAAAATAGTGTTTTTTGCGTTTCCGGGCTTTGGAGATTGCTGAAGGAGTAGGGCGAGGGATTCATCCCAAAAGGAGCAACTGGTTGCTGGAGACTGTAATTCCACTAATCTGACGGCAATTGGCTGATAAGCCTGGGCAGCCATCGCTATACAGTTTGCTACCAAAATAGGTGGAGTTACAGTCTCTTGCAGCCAATTGCCCATTTTGGGGTGAATCCCTCGCCTCGCCTCCCCAGCAATCTCAAGGCCCGGAAACGCCAAAAAAGCACTTTTTTGACTTTTCAAGCGCAGTACCGGACTCAGCTGGTCCAGAAGGCCATGTGGGTGCGTAGCAAGTGGTCCGCAGCCACCTGCCGGCAAAGCCGTTGCAGATGATACAGTAATTATGCTCGCCGTCCACAACTCTCTTGCCGAGAGGTCTTCTCGCACTTCATCGCTCTGAGGTGCAAAATTAGCCTCAGGAAAGCGTGATATCCTCGATATCAATATCATTTTGAACAGCAAAAATTTTATGTTTTTTGAGAAACATGCAAATAAACAAAGGTAAACAGGGGAGAGTTTTTTTTGAAAGAAAATGATCACAAATTCAAATCACTTCAAATACTCAAAGGTAGCAGAAGCTGAAAGTTCAGAAATTTCTCAAACTTCTAGAGATTTTCTTCACGCTTTTACGTCGAAGAACGCACGAGAACAATTATAGGAAAATGTCATGGATATAACGGTAAGAAAACTGTGTCAAAATGATCATTTCATACACAGTGATGTTAAGCGAGCTAAATAAGGCAAAGCAGGTCAATGATAGTGTAATATCCTCAACATCTATTCATTTTGAACAGCAGAGAAAAGCCATATTTCATTGAGAACCATACAGTCGGATACAAAACTAAACACCAAAAAAATTCCAAAAATTCAAAAACAATTACAAAATGAATGAATAGAAAATCAAGCAGTTTTTTCTGTCAAATTTTGAGGTCAAAGTGCAATAAATATCCATTGACGCTGCGGTTTTAAGGCTTCTTGGTTTTCAATGAAGATTTCTTAGAAATCAAATACAATTTCCATGAACACTTCAGGATTCGAAATGCGGTTTTGTTGAAGGATTATCAGAGGTGGTTCTTCCAACTTTGAACTCTTATTATTTGGAATGAGTTGTGAATTTTGAATTTTTTGATTATTATTTTATCATTTTCTCAAAATGCCTGGAGAAGTGAACTGTACAGATATCAAAATAGTACATGCTTCTTGGTGATGGTCCCTTTTATATCAGCAGATGTGGCATATTTTCATTTTCTATCACTGACCTACTCAATTTGATTGACTTACTTTGCCTTATTTAGCTCGCTTAGCATCACTATGTATGAAATGATTATCTTGACAGAGTTTTCTTGCCGTTATATCCATGTCAATTTTCTGCAATTGTTCTCGTCCATTTTTAGACGTGAAAGAGAGAGAAAAATCTCTATAAATTTAAGAATTCCTAATTTTTTCAGCTTCTGCTTCCTTTGAGTTCTTAAAGTGATTTGATCTGTGATCATTTTCCATTAGAAAAACCCTCCTCTGTTCACCTTTTTTATTTGCATGTTTCTCGAAATTTTTGCTGTTCAAAATGATATAGATATCGAGGATATCACGCTTTCCTGAAGCTGATTTCGCACCTTAGAGCGGCGAGGTGCGAGAAGACCTCTCGGCAAGAGTTGTAGACGACGAGCGTAATTACTGTACCATCTGCAACGAATCTGCGGCAGCAGTCGGCGCCCGTTTACCACTTGCACGCCTCTCAGACCATGTGGCCGTGGAAAGCTCGCAGTCGCAATTTTCCCGAGCCACTGCCTTTAAGGTAATAAAACCTCTCATAGCTATACGATACCTTCTGCCGCCTTGCTCTATCAGCCACTTTCTTGAGTATATCTCTGTCAACGATGGCTGTGGATTATGGGAAAAGGTTGATCACAGTTTGCTAGAGTTAGTCACTAATTGACGAATTGAACTCTCGAGTTGGGAACAGTGCCCTGGACGTCACAAATTTTCTCAAAATCTATCTGTTGGCTCGTTGCGATTGGCAGCAAAGATAATTGTTTGAATCTGCATTTTTGAATCAAGTGTTTGAAGACGGAAAAGGAATGTTTTGTTGACCTGCCAAAGAAAGAGCGCATTATGTCATGCCAGAGTAAACTATTTTTGCGCTCACATGTTTCCTATACGCGTGTAGCCAATGAGAGCACTCATTCCCGAAGAGACCAGGCAAGAGGCAGTTTGGAAGAGTCCGTTGTAAAGTACAGCATCAGAGTCTTTCCAGTTGTACATAGAAACAGACCAAGGGGTCGAGATCCTAAAATGGAACTTATTATGTAAAGTGATTTCGTTCTTGTAGTCCGGAAAAATAAAAATAACTTCCAAAAAACAAGTGATTGTCTCGCTAAGAAGGATTAAACCTGTTGAAAATTTGAGAAAGCTTTCAAAAACAGCGAGAGGAAGTTGCAAATTTTAAATCAAGTCATGACTATCAAGATGGCCCGTAGTAATCCTCCGCCATTCTAGGTCAGCTGAGGCGAGCTTAAATTGACGTTACGGCGCCTCGTCTAACATCGATCGATCCATTGATTTGGATGCTGGTCGCTTATTAAGTGTACGTTTTATCAGGAAAGAACGTCATCAATCCTACAGGCTTCGAATGGAGACAGTTGCCATCTGACTGATGTTGCCATGGTTCAGAGCTGGCTAGTGACATCAGCTCAGGGCCCGGCACAGATGGTCCGAAGTCAAACTGGACTTTGTTTTTGAAGTAGAAAGAATGGGGATGTCATTTTTGTAAGGTCTTGGGAGGAGCCCCAAAAAATCGATAAACATGTCAGGTTTCACAAGCTGAACCGCGTTCTTTCGCTAGCGCGCGAAATTCGAACGCAATACTCAAACAAACAAATGGCTTGTTTACATCGCGCAAACAATTACATGGCACCGAATTTGGACTATGCGTATACAATATTACTCCAAAGAACATTATGTAAAAAGTTTGAAAAACTTATGTGTCCTAATACCCTTTCCCAATTTGTTGGTTTCTACACCAACACCAACACCAACTGCGTTGGTGCGGAGCATGAATATCAGAGTGTTCACATAAGTTTTAGACCTTTTTGATTTGGACGACTAGAACGCTCAAAAATCGATTATATAGTGAACAGAGCGAATCAAATTGTTGCCTCTCCTCTTTTTTAGCCAAAATTACGTAAACCTTCGCACTGATGATTATCGCGCTCCAATCGCATGCGGCTTCCTTTAAACTTCGTGGTGAAAAACGCATCGTCAAATTGCTGCTACAAATTTGGTTGGCCCAGGAGGTTTCGTGAGCTGAGCTCTAAAAGGGTGTCGTACTCAGTAACAGAGCCTGTAATCAAGTCAAAATATGTTTTTGATCTTAAATATGCTAAATATGTTCGCTTTTTTATTCCTATATTGATCAGACAGAGTTATTCTACTAATTTTGACGTAAAAGAGGATTTGTAAAAAGTGAAGTCATGGGAGACTTCGTTTCCAAAAATGCTCCAAACCAACGCGTGCGGGCTCTGCATCAGCTACATTGGCGGGCAGTCTTCGATCTTACAAGGGAAGGATGGTTGATCGAAGTGGCCTTTTAAGATGGGTTGTATATCATGATGGAGAACACAAAACGCTAATTCCAGATCTGTCTTCCTTATTTGCGGCGCATTCTTGGACGAGGAGTTATGTGCGTTTGAAGGAGCAAAAAAATGAATGTTTTTCTGGGATAAAAACCGTTTTTAAAATTTTCCCAGCGCTTGAATGAGACAGCCGAAGTGCGGATATACCTCACTTAAGAGTATTTATTTTATAGAGTGCTGGAAAGATTACCGCTAGTTCGTTTAAGCGCTAGGAATAATGTTACTACTATTTTTATATTATTTGCACATACAATTTTTTCTCCAATAAATGCTCATAACTTCAGGTGCAGGAATGCGCCGCAGATAAGGAAGACATATTTGGAATCAGCATTTTTTGCCCTCCAACATGGTATACAAATCATCGCAAAAAGCCACTTCGAGTGACCATCCTTCCTTCGTTAGATATCTTCCTCACTATCAAAAGACTGATGATGACCGCTGTAAGAGATTCGCCTAGCAAATGTAGACACCGAACAATAATGAACGAGATTACAATAATTTAACATGAATTTCCGCAAAAATAGTATTTGTTGAAACCAAGAAAAAGATAAAAAATTCATTTTGCATAGTTCACCAAAAAAGGAGCATCTTCTGCAAGAAAAGCAAATAAAATCCCTTATTTTCAGGACGCGAACAGCTGTTTTGTGTATATCGGAAGGTCCCCAAAATTGCATAGTTTGCGCACTGTAATCCGTAATGTTACGCCACCTCCCGTGTCCCGTAAGTTACTCACAAGCAGCTTACGGGACTTTTTTCTATTCCAGTTTAGCACACTATCTAAATATGGCAGTTGATCTTCCGACCCATCCTTATTATACGGCAGCGCGGCAATCGAGCTGTCAACCGCCAGTTCAGAAGGCCTTTCTGAACTGTAGGAGGATGAGTGGTCATCATTTCAACTTTGAAATAGGCTTCAGGGGACATCATGTGTTCTGAGTCGCATCGTCCGATCATCCGACGTAGAAACTCACACTTCTATATTTGTAGCTACCATGCACGATACTACCCATAAATAAATGCAAATAAGTGCGGGAACAATGTCAAAGTTTGGAATCACCATATATGGATTACCTAAATATTTCTTTCAAAAAATTTGATCGATGGCTTTTGTTTCGAAGTTTGCGTCAAACCATACCTTCTTTATCTTCTTCACTGATTATACCGGCGTACTCTTCCTTGAAAAGGAACTGAATAACGAAACAACTAATCACAGATAGTACAACCATGAAGTACGCAGGCACTGTATACATATTAAACACTAAAATTCCAACTCTTGCTCCGTACTCTCCTATAGGTGTAAAAACAGCCTAAATAACATTATACTTAAGAACACTCTATTTCCATACTTGAAGTCAGCATTTGGCAGACTTCCGATTCTAATTTTTGGAAGTGTTAAGTTCAAATCAAAATTCATGCTTCACACTCGCGCCCCTTTCATCGGTCACAGGTCGCGAGGTTCTCAAAAATTACCTGCTTGAGTCACAATGCTGCTGAGTTTTTTCTATATGTAAACATGTAAATATTTAAACAATTTATGAAACTTTGAAATCTATCCAGTTCTCCCACAAGTTCGTTTGTGTTGACTTTCAAGGGCAGCAAATCATGTATTAGGTTGGTAAGAAAGTTCTCGGACATTTTCAGACTAGAACTGCTATTTCTCGAAACCTAATGCGTGTACATCCGGAAGAGATACCATTCGATAGAGCAAAGCAAGCTTCACAGGTATGCGAAAGTTCGCACCATCTTCCACCCACCGTAGTTTGCATCCAAATATTGAGTCCTACTGAGGGCTCGAAAAACTGGGAAAAGACCATATCTTCTTTTAAAAAATTCTAGGGATCTTCAACTTGCTCACGCAACTTGCACACCACATCAGACACTCATATGTACCGTTTCTGTATTTTTTCCTCATCAATCGAGAAAACAAGAATTTTCATGCTTGTACGAAAACGAAGCTACGCTGTTCCCACACGTGTAACTGCATAGTACACCCCCTTAGAAGTATAACCGTAAATTTTTAGCTTTCCGCAAGCCCTAGTTTTTGAAAAATATTGACTTCAGCATGGAACACCCGAGTGAGAAAAACTCTAATTTTTTATTTTTTTAAATTTTTTTTTCAATTGAATTTTTTTGGTAATTTTTGGAAACTAGAGCCTGTGGAAAGTTATAAATTTACGGTTACACTTCTAAGGAGGTGTACTATGCAGTTACAGTGTGGGAACAGCGTAGCTTCGTTTTCGTACAATCATGAAAATCCTTGTTTTCTGGATTCTTAAATAAGGAAAAAATACGGAACGGTACATATGAGTGTCTAATGTGGTGTGCAATTCGCGTGAGCAAGTTGGAGATCCGTAGAATTTTTTTAAACGAAGATATGATTTTTCTCAGTTTTTCGAGCTTTCAGTACGACTCAAATTTTGGATGCAAACTTACGGTGGATGGAAGATGGTGCGAACTTTCGCATAACATCTTGTAGAGCTTGCTTTGCTCTATCAAATGATATCTCTCTCGGATGTAAACGCATCAGGTTTTGAGAAATAACAGTTCTAGTCAGAAAATGTCCGAGAACTTTCTTACCAATCCAGTACTTCTCAAAGCTAGATGGGTCTTAGAATATCATTCGATGGAGATAGGCATGCTCTACAATACGACCATCTTGCGTTTGCACCAGATCTGATCCACCTCGAGTTTCAAGCCGAAAACTGATATAAGATTCGACTGCCCGAAAAATCAAAAAATTTTACTCCCAGCATAGTCCTTCAAAACTTCTAACTTGCTCACTCAAACATTAGACAAATCAAACTCAGCTTCCCGTAGTCGGCTGACTTACGCTAAAATCCATATTTTTTTGAAAATTAGAGCTTCTGGAGAGCTGGAACTTCGTCTTTGTTCTACAGACTACTAGTATACGATCATTTGTGTAGGGACAGCACAGCGTCACTCTGGCAAAAGCATAAAAATTTCCGTTTTCTTGACTTCTAATCGAGGGTAAATACGGCAATGGCGTGTATAAATGCCTTATGTGATTTGTTCTCAGTGAGCAAGTTAGAAATTTCGTAGGATGGACGGAGTTACGTTTTTTCTCGGTTTTCGCACATTCGAACCATTTTAGTTTTTGGTTTCGAACTCATGGCGGATTGACGCTGGTGCAAAAGCAGGAACGCCACATTGTAGAGCTTACTTAGCTCTATCGAAGGGTACTTTGACACCTATTCAGATATAAGAAGTGTACGATTTATCGCTATTGAAAGTCAAAATGTGCGGAATTTATGGGACCAACTGATAGATCAGCTTTGTAAAAATTCTTTGAGGTACAAGCAGCCACTTCCATTTTTTGGATATAGGGGTTATACTGGGTGTTTGGAAAATTTTATGGTACTTTTAACTCAAAGTTTGACACGTGTTTGTTTCGATATCTTATATATAAAGCTGAATGTCTGTTTGTCTGTATGTCTGTCTGTATGTCTGTCTGTCTGTACGTATGTTCCGAATAGAAAATTCCATTTCTGAACCGATCCGGACCAAACTTGGCACACATACACTTCGGGCCCCGGCGGGTGTCATAGGCTACTTTTCGTATCGATCGATATCGATTTTATCGATTTTTTGCAAAATTTGAGCTACGGGGCTGGGAGCTGGCACAGGGGGGTAATCGAGCATGCTGATTACGAATATAATATTAGTTTTTAAAATCGTGCATTACTTTTATCGATTTTATCGATTTTTTTGCAAAGTTTGAGCTACGGGGCTGGGATTTGGCACAGAGGGTAATCGAGCATGCTGATCACCCCGTGGGGGTGATCAGCATGCTCGATTACACCCCTCTGCCAAATTCCAGCCCCTTAGCTCAAACTTTGCAAAAATTCGATAAAGTTGACATCGATCGATAACGAAAAGTGGACTGTGACACCTACCGGGGCCCGAAGTGTAATTGTGCCAAGTTTGGTCCGGATCGGTTGAGAAATGGAATTTTCTATCCGGAGCATACGGCGGAGCCGGGTAAGCCAGCTAGTGCTCAATAAACCTATGTACAGGTTTGCCTGCGGTTTGCATCTAATTCAATCCAGGTAAGTTTAAAGCCAAAAACTGAAACGATCCAAATGCGAGAAAAAAACAGTCCGGTCCAGAAAATCTACGGACCTTTTTCTCACTCACGCTTCTAGATTCCATATGAGAACATTCATACATGCCCTCTGCATCATTGGGAGTGACGGATGCCGGCTGGCACTCAAGTCCGCCTTGCTTAAAGGTAGTGCCACGGCAGATTTGTGCCCTGGGGGATATTGCTGTATCGGGGTTCCTGGCCATCCCTCTGACCTCCAGTCGCACTCAGGCTGGTTGATGTTCATTCTGGGTTGAACCGGCTCGCTATTCTAGGCACGCGCTCGGATCGCTTACCGTTCGGCGAGGGACCCCACGACCTCTCTCCCGCATTGGGCGTGCTATCCAAAGCAAAAATTACAGTCAGCAGGATCTCGTGTCAGGGCCTCCCAACTTTCCCATTGTGATTCTCTCCGAGCTACCTTTTAAAAATTGGGTAAACGTCCCGAATAAGGTCTGTTTTGAAGTTCAAATTCGGGGTCTATGGGTCGAAAAGGCCCAAAAAATGCAAAAAGATGGCAATGCAAAATCTGCCGAGACACTGCTTCTAACAAGGGAAGCTTGTGTGGTCGAAGTGGCTTTTCTGGGGAGACGGTCTTTTCGCACGGGCGGTCTCCAGCGTCTCCCTGATTTTGACTTGTCTTAACATGTAATGCACGCCGCAAATCTTTCCTCCCCGTGTTTTGCTTAGGCAAAAGCCGCCGCAGGGTGTGTCGCGCGCGGCGGTGGTCCTGTGTGGAAAGCATTACGGTCGTGCGAAACGTCACACACCCGCTTTTCTGATTGAAATTTACACCATATTGAAGGTCATAAAACGCTGATTCCGAACCTGCCCTACTTATCTGCAGAACGTTTGTGCACGAGGAGTTATGAGCGTTTTTTGAAGCCAGAAATTGAATGCACATTTTGGGTGGAATGAGTTGCTAAAATCTTACTAAAACTCATATACTGCAACTAAGTGTGACGTGATTATTTCAAAATATTGCTTGAACTAGCTAGTAAGTTCTCTGATGATTACCACTGCTCCATTGAAGAGCCAGAAAAAGTATCAAAGCTACTTTTGTCTCATTTGCACATTCAATTTGTCGCTTCAATACGCGCTCATAGCTCCTCATCCATAAATGTCCTACAGATAAGGAAGATAGAATTGGAATCAGCTTTTTATGCCCTTCCATATGGTGTACATTCCATCTCAAAAGGTCACTTTGGTTCAAAAAAGTGCCTGGTGAAGGGTGTACATGCATCCTTTGTCAGTTCTACACCTCTTTGCGAGCGAGCTCTCAAAGTTCCCACCACATGACTGGGAAGAGCGAAGCTTTGATTGCTACAAGCCTGAAAAATTAAAGAACACGTTCGCGAGGGGAATGCAGAGCTCAGGCGAGTCGACCGAGCGGCAAAGCCCCACCCAGCACCCGTCACCCTCCGTGATACAGAGGATACAGCTGTATTTTTCTTCAAATAGAATAGTTTTCAAAAAAGTCCTTTAAACCCACATTAGTACTATACTTCAAGATTCAAAAGCATAATGGAGATGTTTCAGCCTTTAAAGAGCTAGTTTTCGAGAAATATCGAATTTGTAACAGACCTTAAGTGTTTTTTAGACAATTGAGTATTACAGGGGGGCGGGCGTTAGGTACCCAACCGAGGTGAGGGCGTTAGGTACCCAGCCATTAGTGGTATACACTAGGCCACGTCCCTTAGCTGCTTTAACAGCGGGTACTTAACGATACACCCATTCTAGCTGCTAGAACAGTCCACCTAGCTCGCTGAAGCGCTGGGGCTTGCGACCCACATGAAGAAGATAGTTCGAGAAAATCAAAAAAAATGAAAGCGAAGCGAATGAAAGCGCAAGGTTACAATGCTTTTCCTATTGCTTTTTTCAAAATCAATTTTAGAGCCAAAGAGATTGGTGATGAAAGCTAAAAACGGGGTAAGGCTTTTATGAGCAGTTCACATGGTTTTGCAAAAAAATTGTGATAATCTGAACCGATAATGTCAAAGGGAAATTTATGAAAGTAAACTTTGTAGTATACAAATGAATTAATTTTATGATATTACTAAAGCAAAGCGCACTTTCGGATGCGCTCATGGCAAATAAGTTGCACGGAGTATTTTGCTCCAAATAAAAGAACATTTTTGAAAATGGGAAGTGGAACCGATTGCAAGAAGAGCTTCAACGAGAACTTGTCATCAGGAATCGGAATTTCATGGAGGACTATGTGATCCATTAATATGGGAAGGGCTTTCCGAAATGAGGAAGAATATATGCTTATCAATGTAATGTCCCATAAATCTGTTGGTCTTAACTATGACAGAAGTAATATTAATAATCTACGATAACGTAGCACAATCCCTGTGGCAATATTAACTCAAGTACTACGACCCTTGACTTTACGCCTCAAAACGAGCCTGACGACAATATGTGAAGGGAATATTTCGTGCAACTTATTTGCCAGGAGCGTATCCGAAAGTGCGCTTTGCTTCATCAAAATTACAAAGTTTTGATTTATTGGTATTCTGCAAAGTTTACTTTTATGAAATTCCCGCTAACATTTTCGGCTCAGATCATCAGGAATTTTTTGCAAAACTTTGCGAAGTGCTCATAAAAAGTTTATCTTGTTTCACTTTTCAGCACCGACTTACTGTGGTTCTGAAATGGATTAAAAAAAGAAGTATTAGAAAAAGCATGTAAACTTGTGCTTTCATTCGCGAAATTTTTTTTGATTTTCTCGAGCTATCATTTTTCTGTGAGTCGCGAGCGCCAGCGCTTTAGCGAGCTAGGTGGGTTGTTCTAGCAGCTAGGATTTGTTGTATCGTTAGGTACCCGCTGTTAAAGCAGCCAAGGGGCGTGGCTTAGTGTATACCACTAATGGCTGGGTACCTAACGCCCGCACCTCGGCTGGGTACCTAACGCCAGGCACCCAGTATTACACACATCTAACTTTCAGTTCCGTCATTTTTTATTGCTGAAAAAGTTTCTGCCGGAGCACAAAATCAATAAGAACAAGCTTGCTTTAATCAAGGAAGAATTGAAGTCATGGAATTTTATTTATGTTAAAAACCTCGCCTGTATTGCAGGTCCGAATGAGAGTCCAAGGACGTAGCCAGCTGTGCCTAAAGATACTGCTCGGAGGCGATCTTTTGGAACAGAAGCTGTAGCTGCATAGGCTCTCAATACAGATAGAGTTCCTGAATAACAGCACTCTTTATCATTTTTGCGAAACATCATCGCTTACCTGCGCCAAAACCCGTTAATAACCTTGCTCCTAACATCACATATTTTTGGTACGAGCTAAGTAAAGGTAAAAGAGCAAAAATTCCCTGACCTAAACTAGGCAATTCATGGGAAACGAGTTCCTGTAGAAATGACTTATCGTTAGTTGACTCACCAATAATCATCATTAACATCCCAAGAATCACCGGGGCTTTGATTGACATGGTTTTCTGATTCCAGTAACCAAATAGCGGATTGGCCTGGAATAATCTATTTAGGTGGAGCCAACATAGAGTGTTAGGTTTTGCCTGTTTTGGATTGAAAAGTTTGATGGGAAAAAGTTGTCTTGAAACAAGGACTAGAAAAACGCGCATTGCTTTTGCATTAACCTAATAATATAGTAATACAGTATAGTATAATATATAACATAGTAATATAGTATATATTATAATATATGATATAATAATACAGTATATATAATAGTTTAGTAAGAGCGTGGTTTTTTCTGGTTAGTCATGGGTTAGTCCAAAACAAATAAGCTCTAGCGGAGTTGACGCTTTGGATTGCTCGGTTAGAATAAATAAAAGAGTGAAACAGTAGTGCGCTGATTCAGATACTCTCTGATTAGGATGGCGTTCTCCTCTTTGGTTTTCTCGACTTGACATTTATTGAAAATTGTAGCATTATTCAGTTTTCATACTCGAAACGAGTGAGTAAAAAGAAGGCTTGTGGCCATGGCGGGAATTGGCAATAATATCTTTTCAGCAAAAAAAATGAATATTGATGTCTTTTCCTATTTGCTATATATAATTCATACTAGGTCGCAGTTTTAACTGGCAGCCTCTGGTAAGGTCCTATCTCTAATAAGAAAAAAACGCACGATTGAACAACCCAGACTGCATGCCGCAATAACCCATCCAAGAAAATCCACCGTCGCCGTGCTATCAATCTTGAAAAAAAAAACATTCAATTTTTCTGCTGTCGAATCTTTACTCAAAACTTACAAGGCTGAGGTATGGCCACATTGACATGTAATAAATTGATGTTTGTATACCGACCATGAACTGCATCACGATAGAAATCCATATCGATCTCCACGGTGAAGACCTTTCATCGAGTGCAGTCATAAACCTGTAACTGACTTCAAAACTAGCACTGCTCTCAGTAAACAGTTTTTCCTAAAGAGTGATGAATAGAACATGCTCTGGAAGAAATCAAACTTGGCTTACGTCGAAGAGTTTAGAAATTGTTTGGGTTGCTTTTCCATGTTATAGATTGAAGTGCTCAAACCAACTCAGGCTGTATCTATCCTTTCCGAAAACACTATTTAAGAGAATTATCCCCCGTTTATGAGCCTGCATGATCTAGCGAGAAGGAAAAGTGCACCACAGGGCATAACATTATTTAACAGATTTATCCCTTTTTTATGAGGATGCATGATCTAGCGGGAAGGGATAGTTCACCGTTCCGAGGGCAAAACATTATAAAATGGAATTATCCCATGTTTATGGGAAGACCTCAAAGGAAGAGTTCACCGTAGGGCAAAACACTATTTCCCAGCAGCGAAAATTTTATGCCTATAGGCCTAAAAGACTTATCCCCGTTTATGAGCATGTATGATCTTGCGGGCAAAAAAAGTTCAAAGTTTCGTAGGGCAGAATTTCACAGAGCTATCACCCATTTATGAAAATGCATAATCTTGCAAAAGAATTTCCGAAATTCTATGGAAAACGCTTTTGTGGATATCTGCATTGCGAAAATTTCATTTTCCTCTTCAGAAGGTGACAGTATGAACAAGTTTGTGAGAACTAAAAGCACCAGAGTAGAGCACTATTCAGCAAGTTCCTTTGTTCTCAAAAGAGTAATGTTGAAATATGATAAGAGTTCAACTTAAGAGTGTAGAGAATATTTCTTGTGAAGAAAATGATAAAAAAAGGTAAAAAAATGTAATAGCTCATTTTCTATTTTCCAGATAGTGGAACCTTCTGGGAAGTGTGAAAATCTTTTATGGTGCCCATTATTAGGTGAATATAAGGCATAGTCTGCAGAGAATAATAAATAGCTCTTCAAATCAGCTGTGCTTCATTAAACATCATATTTGTGGTGCTTTCCATAATAAGAAATTTGATGTGAGAATTCTTAAATATCTGTGCAATTAGTAAGCGGACGATGAAAAATGGTACCCCTTGCTTACAGGCATTTCCTTAGAGTGTGGTTTTTCTCAGCAGGAAGTGCTACTGTATTGATGCCTATCGTTAACAACTTTGAAAATGAGTAGGAAAGCAAGGTAGAGTGAGGTATTTGTAGTCTAAACATAAGCAACTACTAATGTATTATAATTTATTGGTCCGAAAATTCTTGCGCATTATCTTTTGAAAATGTTAGCTCCTTGCAATCTGCATGAATTTATGTGTAATAATCTTGGTTGATATGAGTAAATCACGTAGTTTTTGATGATAGTTGACTACATTCTATTGACACAAGTCGCAGAGTTAAATAAAAATGCAAGATGAAAACTACTCACATTTCGTCAATTTCAAGCAAGCTCACCAAGAATCAAAGAAAGTTACAAAAATATCGAAAACATAAACATAACCTTTGTAATCTCCTCTTTCTAGCAAAGCAAAGTTCGCAATGATCGATTATTACTTTAACAAGTTATGATTTTTATTTTTGACGCTTTTCACAAAAATAATCGCCTGGATCAGCAGAAAGACGATGTTATAAATCTTGAATTTATGAATGTTTCGGTTTCCGCTGCGACAATTTTTTTCTGAGCTTGTTCAAATCCAATTCTGAGTATTTCCGTTCCTTTGCTTCTAACCCTCGATCTCTCTCATTTTAGTTCATGGCAAAGGTACCGCTGTTGCACGAAATTCCGCATGCAAACAATACTTTCACAATATTCCATGATAGTGATTGAAAATTTCACTTTTATGTGATTTTTTTAAGGTTCCTATCTCGCATTTTCTCATACTAGTTGACGCCAGAGGAGAGCCTGAAACTGTCAAATAAGAATCTACGGAAAACCATCAGAAGGCAAGACATTATAATTTCTCAAAGATTCTGACCCGAAATCCCTTCTTGAATGTGACCCGATCCTCTTGCTACGTAGCTATCCGAAGGATCGCTAATCATTATGTAAGTTTGCCCCGAAAGTTTTGTCCGTTTTTTCAAACCACTACAAAAACATGCAAAATAATGACCTAAACGAATTCCAACATGCATTCGATGCAGCTCTTCCTTCTCTTTTTCATGGTAACATTTTCAAGTCACAACCTTGTATGCTTTTATTGCTAATAGCCACGATTCTTCACCAGTCATTTTTATCTGCTCAAAGTTAGGCTAATTCTCAAAAATTCCATTCCAAAGTTGCGGGAAGGGTATGTATGAACCAAGTGGGGCGGTTCTCGTTTCTTTGGAGGTCTTGATTTTTGGCAAAGTCATGAAACGCAACTGCAGCAAATACACGAAAGCTTCAGAAGTTTCTGCGAATTGAAATATGATTTTTGTTAAACATTATTTATGTAACATAACCAAGTTTGATTTGCTTTGAAAAAGCAGCTTCTTGGAATTTTCGGTACTTTTGCGTGGTAAACATAATGAAAAGTCGCAGTTTTTATTGAAGAAATAATTATAATGGACTTGATAAACGTGGCCCATGTAATATAGAATGGGTTCAATGTAGCCAGAGGTTTGCTCTACATAATGGTTACCAGCACTTTTTAGAAAATTTGAAATAAAAATTTTTAATTTCAAGGAAGTTTTGGCGTCACTACTGTGCTGTTTAAAAAGCCATGGCGATAATATTGCAAAGACAGGGTAGATCAGAGAGCAAATATAGCTGTGAGATAGCTATGTACATAGCTTCTCAAGATAATTTTAATTATTAGATGATGCTCAGAAAGATGAACTCCCTCTTACCTAGGACAGAGGATGGAGAATGGAAGACAGTTCGGAGCTGTAGGAAACACATGGTCAGAAGTCAGAGCTTTCGCATGTCATTATGCAAATCTTCCAAATCTCAAAAGAAAACAGGAAATAACAAAACTTCCGTAAACAGAGCAACGAGTTCAAGCGCAGAAAGCAAAAAAGCAGATTTGCAAATTATTAACAAAGTTTGCAGATGAAAATCGGTCAAAAGTGACAGTTGCCTATATGTTTTATGCAAAATCAGTATTGCATATACTTAACATCAGTGGTGACTTGGAATCGTCCAATACTCTAATACGGCTCTCAAATGCAAAGGGAAATAGCAAAAACAAGGTGTCCCTCGAAGATTATGCTAACTCAATTGTGCGGATTGCTGCATTTTAATGAGAACAGTGATTGTTACACATGGCGCACAATTTGAGATTTGATCAGTAAATTAGATCAATAGCACACGCTTCGACAGATTTTTAAAAAGTTTAACGAAATTATTTAAATTTGTGCTAATAAAACGCTTGGCATAGCTGGGCACCAGGTCAAGCTGGATATCGTTTTGCGAGCTAGATGCCGCTTTTTGTCAGAATGGCAATTCGCTGGCATGACAGCGGCATGCTTACTCTTCATACCTCTGTTCATTAGCATGCCGCCAGTATGCCACTCGCATGCCAACGGCATGCCGCCGGACGCCGGCGACATGCCGCTGCTGACACTGCGCATAAATTTGAATCCTGCACAAAAAACAAAAGCCTTGCTTACAAATACAATGCAATCATATGAAGCCAAGTTTGGTGTATGCATGCGCGTTGGGGAACTCGAACTATGGCCCAGAAATTTTTGAAAACTTATGTGAATGGAAGCTGGGCTGAACTTCTTTCCTGAATTAGCTGGCACCGTTCCTTTACTCACATAAGTTTTCATACTTTTTTTACATAAATTGTATCTACATCCTCACTAGCAATTTCAGCAATATTATCGCATACAAAAAGGTTTTGCTTTTGTGACTAGCTCCTTTCATTAGCAAGCTCTGCACCTCTGCTGTGAAGGTATAGGTCACTGTTTCAAAGCTTATAGCTAAACTAGTTGACTTACCCGGCTCCCCCGGCCCTGTCATTATTATATTCGTAATCAGCATGCTCGATTACCCCCCTGTGCCAACTCCCAGCCCCGTAGCTCAACTTTTGCAAAAAATCGATAAAATCGATATCGATCGATGACGAAAAGTAGCCCATGACACCCGCCGGGGCCCGAAGTGTATGTGTGCCAAGTTCGGTCCGGATCGGTTCAGAAATGGAATTTTCTATACGGAACATACGTACAGACACACAGACAGACAGACAGACAGGCAGACAGACAGACATACAAACAGACATTCAGCTTTATATATAAGATCAACAAATTCAACGGCAGATATCAATGGACAAAGGTTTGAAGGTATAAATCAAAACGATATCCGACAGTAAATTACAACTTCATCTCTGAACTATCAGTCTCTCGAACGTAAAGCTCAACCTACCGTAGCATATGTAAAATTGAAGCCATTTCACATTGCTGCCAATATCATCACTAGTTCTTAGTCAACAAATAATCGGATAGTTATAGGAGCAATAGAGTTTTGGTTACAACAGCGGTCCAAATAGCCATTTTATTCGACTATACTATACAAGGTGTCCCAAAAAAGTTGCACACTTTTGATATTTAATAACTCTATTGCTTCAACCCCTTTCGCCAAAATCTAGCTACCAATCACTCATTTTTGACTTTGCTTTAGATTACATTTGCAGTTTGGTGAGAGTTACCGATAGCTTTGCGTTACTATAGGAATACCGCAGGAGCTTTCAGCATAAAACATCATTGTAAGATAGGCTGTTTTAAATGAAAATTTGAAAAAAATCTGGAAAATTGCGTAGCAGATTTTTGAGCATTCTAGTTTCATTACACTGCTTTGTTTTCTGAGATTTTTTGGGTGTTTCATTTTTTGAATTTTTGAAGAGCTTGAAAAGTGGTTACCGTTTACAGAATAACTTGTGACTGTAGCATGACTGTGATGTGCATTATAGTTTGCAAAATCAACGACTTGGACTAGCTTGACATAAGAATTTCGCCTTGTTAGATTTCCTTTTTGGGGTGAACTGAGACTTTTGATGGCTTGGAACTTCTAAAAGTACCTACCGTAATGGTGCAGATGCGAAGAGATTTCGATGATTCGCTCCATACTGTAGGTCCAAGTTAAAGCCAGCTTTAAGGAAGGTATCCAAGAATTGGCAGAAAACATCAAAACAAGAGAGGTCAAGGACTAAAGAGTGTGTACAGTTTTTGAGACACCCTGTATAGTATTTGTCTTCCCTACAGTAATTCGATTGCAAAGTTGTAGTTCCGTAGGGAATCCCAGAACATTTTGATGTTTTGCCAGAACTTGGACCGTGAACAACAAATCGCTTTTTACTTCAGACTGCCTACGCTTAATGCAGCACTGAACCAGTTCGTACTCATTCGTAAGTACTATACCATGCTAAAGTTCAAACATCATACGATTTTGAAGTGCAAAACAGTCTGGCGTGCCCCGACTCGTCCCGTGCTGGTAGAGCACTGATCGCTTGTTGCAAGTTGCAACTATTTTTGGACAGAGGACCATTCGGGAGAGGGCGTCAACAGAAGAAAGATGGGGAGAGGTGTGGGGAGGGGGGATTTGGTAAGTTATGGCATATAAAAAACCACCTCAATTACAAGCATTGAAGATTCAATCCCTCAACTCCGCCTGACTCATTCGGTCATCGTGGCACACTCTTTGACGTTAGCGGCGTAGAAACGCCTTTTCGCCCAATTTCCTTAAGAATTGCCAGATTTGCTCAACTGTCATTCATCAGAAGCAGCCACTGTGTACTCTAAAAGCACCTTTGCACTTTTATACTCTATACATAAATCACAAAGTCAAATCAGAAACATAGACGTGGTCATGTTGTGTATCTGCGATAAGATAAGAAGCGCATCTTTGTTATTAACGGGCTCGTCACCTTCTTAGTGTTCTTCGTCATACTATCCGATTTTGCTTGATTAGCGTCCCGGTAGTCTGATTGTATACATACTTCATAATCCATTTATGGAAACAGCATTCCACTCAAAGACTGCAAAGTACTTGATGAACAAAATTAGAATTTGTAACTATTTGATCTATCATAAAAATATTTTGGAAGAGTGCGGCTTAGTGATTTATACATTTTTGACAATGTTTCGCAATTTTAAGGATCACTTACGATGGCTGCGTACAGCGTCAATAATAAGAAGAAAAGTTTTTGATTCACAATATGTAAATAACCAAAAGGCTCCGTTTCATTCCTGCCCTTGGAGTAAAAGTATTTACAGACCTTCCCGGAACTCACTAAAGAAGGAAGGCCTGTAAAACTTATTTCAAATATTGAGAATTAGGTTTGTTTAGGGGTGAAAAGTATGCACATGAATTTTTTGAAAAGTAAGGTTAATTGTGTGAGTAAGAAGACAGTTTTTTTTTTCAATATAGATGTGTGTCATATATGATTGTATATGTTTATATTATTAAATTTATAAAAGTAATGACTTACGTTCAAATGTACTTGTGATAAAAAGTAATCTAATATAGTACGCATAATGTAATATACTCCTTCTTCTTCTCAAATCATAGTCTACACCAGTTTCATTCAAATGTGTGGCTCATCACTTTTTTGGGACGAGTCTTGTTCCCTAGAGAAAATAAACTTGACATTTACCCTTGAACTCATCATCCTCAACAGCTTAGAAGTAGGAGAAAAGTAGAAAATGATTTTACGGTTATGGTAAATGGTTATGGTATGGCTACGTTATGCATTTCATTACTACATATGTTTTTTTCCTGGGTGAGTGCTTGTCAATGTTATAGCATAATATCAGGTTGTCCCGAAAGTTTTGTCCGTTTTTTCCATCGTTCACTAAAACTCACAGAACACCAATCCATGTACGAATTAGGTACCATTAAATCCAGAACTTTATTTTCTTTCTAAGTACTATATTTGCTCTTTGATCTACTCTGTTTTTGCGATGTTATCGTCATGGCTTTTTGAGCGGCTTACCAGTAACACCAAATTTTTCCTGAATTTTAAAAATTTTTATCCAGCGTTTTCAAAGCGCGATAGAAGCTGTTACGTAGAGCAAACCTTTGCTACATTGTGCCCATTCTAGAGTACATGGACCACGTTTACCAAGTTCGCTATAGTCATTTATTCAATAAAAACCGCGGCTTTTTAATTACGTTTACCACGTAGAAGTACCGAAAATTTCAAAAAGCTGATTTTTCAAAATCAAGCTCGATTATGTTGCATAAATAATGTTTGATAAGAATCCTGTTTTAATTTGCAGAAACTTCAAAAGCTTTCGTGTATTTGCTGCAGTTGCGTGTTTCTTGTCAAGATCTTCGAAGAAATAATTTTTTGAAGCCAAAAACAGCAGATTAGGAGGATTAAAAATATTGTCTTGTAGCCCGAGAATTGCTCTATTTTAAACATGCTTAATGTTTTCCAAAACTTTGGAATGAAATTTTTGAAAATTAGCCCAACTATGAGGCGATAAAATTGAGGGGTGGAGAGTTTGGCAATTATCAAAAAAAGCATACAAGATTCTGGTTCGAGAATGTATACATAAGAAAGAGGAGGAAAAGCTGCATCGAATATATATTAAAACTCGTCCAGGTCTTTATAGTGCGCAGTTTTATAGTCGTTTGAAAAAACCGGTAAAACTTTCGGGACAACCTAATATATAGAGGAACTTACATTTTCTTTCTCTAGACCAATACAATATTGACTATTTATTTTATTTTATTATGTTCACTCATGGTGCGCCATTCGCCTCAATAATAGCTCGAATGGGAAAATCAAATGAAATTGTTGTAATTCTTTGAAAGATGGTGAGGATCTTTTACGAAAATTTTATAGCTGTCCGGCTAAAAAGGATTATTTTTTATGCAAAGTTCTGAAAAACATTGTATAGCAGCTTTCGATCACACACTTTATATTAACTGTATCACAATCACTTTAGTAGATGGATGCCTACAAAGCGCAAAAACGTTCGACCAGCTTGCGATAACGAGTAGTTGCCCTATAGAAAAAGGAGCTTGATATTTATTTTCAGACACTTATCATTGTCGCAATTTTATTCTATCAATTTGAAAAATGAATTACTTAAGGACATTGCCAATTTTCTGTTCTTCTGCTCTTGCTTTTTGCTTTGGTGGCTTCATTACTTGATTTCGAAATCTATTCCTAATTGTCACGAAACCTCAGGCGATAAAGGGCTAAAGCAAGATATCTTGGCTTCGTGGACGTTTTTTATTTCTGTTGAGTCATCAATCCGTTTGCAAATGTACGGAAGTATATCAAACCGTTTCCGACATTCGCAAGCGCGAACTAGCGATTACGTCGCTGTTGACATCTTCTTACGGCAGACACTGATAGTGAATAGAATGATAAACTGTTGTTGTTCCGTTTAAAAATGAAAACAAACACGTGATGCTTAAAAACCTATCGATCTAAAATAAATACATTATCAGGTTGGCACATAAGTTTTGCAACTTATTTTGTAACTTTTCTCTTTTTGACTGTGACGCATTCATTTTTTAGCATAATGTAGACTTGATGGTAGGCTACAAATCGGCGCAAACCGTTTGATTTTTGGCTTCGAGCTGGAGAAAATTTGCTCATTTTTCGGGAGCTCGAAGGTCAAAACCGAAATTTCGAGGGCCGAAAACCAAAAATAAAGCCGTATTCAGTCTAAATCAAACATATCGAGCCGAAACTATGCCCAGACTATTAATAGAGGAAACTTCAACCATCTACACAGTTTCGGCTTGATTTGTTTGATTCAGACTGAGAACGGCTTCATTAATGGTCCGACCCATGAAATTTCGGATTCGACCAGTTTCCGATAAATGAGTGAATTTTCTCCATTTCGCTACCGAAAACCAAACAGTTTGCGCAAGTTTGTAGCCTAGTATCTAATCTACATTGTGCTCAAAAATGATTGCTTCGCAGTCAAAAAGAAAAAAAGTTACGAAATAAGTTGCAAAACTTATGTGCCAACCTATCAAATAGCTTGGCAGAACATCTATTTCGATTACAAATTTCGAAATGTCTTGTTTAGGAATAGTACATGTCAGAAAAAGAGCCGTTGCTCAATGGGAGGGCGGATATAGAGAATGGGAAGAATTATGGCGAGATTGTTGTAGTCAAGAAACCTATGTCAAGAGTGAGACATTATCCGAATTCGAGAGTCGGTTGCTGGGAACGGCGTCGAAGAGCTCGAGCAAAAGCTAAGGTAAGCTAACACTAAAGTCTTGAGATTCTTCATCATATGGGATTGATTTCCTCCTGTCGCTTCCTCCTACGATTTTTTGAGAACAGTCAAAATTAGTTGATTTTTTGTGTCAAACTTAGGATTTGGTGCTGTAACTTGCTTGAAGATGAAACCTTGCCGATACGGAGCACAATTTGAGCTCAAAATATTTCTATATTAGCTCTGGTCAAGAAATGCGGTTTTTCAGAAACTCGCTGATCAACTCCATCATTCTAACAGTAAAACAACGTAAGGCTAATAACCAGCCAATTGTCCTTCCCATTTTATCGTTTTTTCCAAATTTTTTCCTTCTACTTTTGAGACGGTCATTCCTTGATCAATTGCTTCGCAACAATTATGAATTTTGTCTCATGCCTTTTCTTGTAAGTTTATCGTCTTTCAAAAGTTATAGCAATGCTGAAAAGCAACTTTTAACAAAACACTCATCTTTCATTTCTGTTTACCCAAAGCAATATAGCCAACCCTACCACTCAGCCTTCTGGAGAGCAACTGCTTGAATTATCCCAAGCTAAGATAATTTGGCTTTAAATGGTTGTACTTCAAGCACAAATACTTATAATACATACATACAATATATGCTACATGCTGGGGCAACATAGCAATAAAACATTGTATTTGAGACATATTTCAATTCTGTTCACGTAAATAGTTGTTCTTTACAAGCCTTCAAAAATAGTACTTGAAAATCTTATCCCAGTACGTATATTCATGAATAGTCACTTCGACAAGAAAACCCAAAAAGGAGACATTTGGATCAAGCCTACTTTTGTTTCTAACTTTTGAACCCAAAAAATGCCCTCCATTCATAGGTATAGAGAAATCCACAAGTATTTTCAGTACTACCGAGATCTTGAAGAGATACAACAACAATTTGAGGAAGATCGCCGTCTTGTCGAAGGAGAGGATGAATTAGTAGAGGTGAAGTTTTCGACGTCAACTTAGATTTGACTTCATTGCATAGTTGACATTTTCAGATGGAAAGAGGTCCTGACAGGATATTAGCACGGATACTTCTAGCTTTGAACATATGTTTACTTTTTGCTAATTTTTTTGCATCAATAATATCAGGTTCATTATCAATTGTTAGGTAAGCTTTGTATTACGCTTTTTCTCTTAAATTCATAGTAAGCATTTCAGTACATTTGTCGATTCTGCTATGGATATAACTACAAGTGCAATATTGAGTTTCTGCCTTTGGCTCATTAAAAACACTAACAAGTTCAAATATCCTCGAGGAAGAGCGAGGTATTCAATTTTTCAGGGTGTTACGCAGAATTCGAAACAAAAAAATTAACAATGGTTCGGCAACAAGAATTTCAAAAATAATAATGATTCAACAACCAGAAGTTTGTTGACTTTGTTCGAGTCACTACAAGGATAATTTCAAAGGAAAAATCTTCAAGAAACTATTTTTGTCTCAAATGAGGCTAAGATTGATGGAGAATGCAGCTAATGCAAAGCCCACATAAAAACTCCTTTTTTGATCACAAAATTAGATTTATTTCGGGTAATCGCATTTTTGCAGCTATTTGATTTATCATTTCAGCCTGGAACTATTAGGTGTAGTGTTATGCTCAGTGATAATGGCCATTGCTAATATGTTCCTTATCATGCGGTCCGTTCAAGCGATTCTAACGGGACAGGTCGAGTCGTTGATGGTTTGCATTTTTCCGCTTCATATCATAATTCATTTTAGAATATGCAGTTACTAAGCTCATCCATGTTTGCGAAAAAATTTGCTATTTTTGCTCCCTTTTCGAAATTCTCACCTCCTCTCAATAGCTATATGACTTAAAAAAAAACTTAAAATCTAAAAATTCAAAAAGCTTAGCGATTGAACAATCTCGTTCCATCAAATCACTCCTGAAATGAAGCGGTCAGTAGAAGTAGTTTGAAGTCATAGTCGGTTTTTACAGTGATCTTCGTGTTTTAGATAGCTCCTGAAGTGGACATATATGTCCTAGCCATAATGTTTACTGGTTCTGGTATTAAAGCTATTCTTATGGTGATTTGCTACAAACGTGGAACTGCTTCGTCAAAGGTTATCATGAGCGATATAACTGCTAGTATAATTATTAGGTGTTCCCAAAACTAAACTCCATTTTCAAATAAACTGAGCTGTTCTTGTTTTCCTAATAGAATCAGGGTATCATTCGATAGAGCAGGGCAAGCTCTACAAAAAGACCACCAAGGGCCTACCTAAGTCGTAATACAAGCAAGATTTGATGCCAAAAATCAAAATCTTTCAGCTACCCTAAAAATCGGATCTCCTTCCAGAAAATTCCTACGGACTTCCATTGGTCTTTATATAGTAGACACATAGTAGGACCCAGAAATGTATTTGGCGGATTTTTCTCGGGGCTCAAAATTGAGAAAAAAGATGGTCTGAAAATGTCAAATTGCCACTTTTTTTTGGGTTTTTCATGTAAAACTTGGTATTCCTCGATTATAAGAGCATATAGGTACAAGGGTAAGATTTTGATATTGTACTTAGTAAGGCTTGTAGTATACAATGACATATGTGGGAGGGGCTAGGTTGGAGTTTGACGTTTTTGGACAACTTTTGTTTCTCGCTTTCTATGCTCGGAAAAAATTCGGCGAAAGCATTTTTGAGTACCTACAAGTGTTTACTGTATAATGACCAAGTTGTAGGGTTTTTCCTTGCGAAAATCCAGTTTTCAGGTGACAATTTTTTTTCGATTTTGGCTTCAAACTTTGCATGGAATGCGAGTTAGGCGGACCCTTGGTGATCTTTTTTGTAGAGCTTGATCTGATCTATCGAATGATATCCCAAGCCTATCAGTAAAGCAAAAACAGCTTGAATTATTCAAAAAAGGAGTTTACTTTTGGAGCAACCTAATAGATTACCTTAAGGTTCTTGCCATGGATATGCGTAACGATATCGTCACATCCCTGGTCGCAGTGGTATGTGCAACCATAGGAGATAAATTTTGGATTTATGCTGATCCTGTTGGCGCAATTATCGTCTGGTTAGTACAATTAAGACGTATACAGTTATGTGCTAATGACCCCAAGTTTTCCGAAAGGCTCAATTAGAGCCGCCCCTCCGAGCTTTCTTTTCAAAATTCGAGAAAGGAGTACAGTCAAAAGCAGTAAAATTGATCTTGATATGGATAACTGATTAAGCAAAGATCTGAAGATCGGATAAACGTATATTTAACCTTTGATTCATCTGGATGACGGGTGGAAGGCGGGGCTTCGTGACCTAATTAAGGTCGTTCGCTCCCGCGATACAGTCGGCGTATCTCTCGCGCTTGTGCTCTCTGATCACTCCCTAGCCTTAACTAGGTGTCACGAAGCCCCTGCCTTCCAGCCGCCAATCCAGTTGAATTAAAGTGTGAATCTGAAATTTCACTTTTTTCGAGTACTACAACAATTTCATCACAGACTATAACAGGTCTGCGGAAGCAGCCAGAAATTTATTTCAGAAATATATAACGACTTTTTTCCAGAGCTTTAATGGAGAGTTTTCGACATTTTTCAGAATCTACAATTTTTCAGTTTTTTTTTCTTCCCTCTAAAAGTTTTTATCAGTAGAGAACTCATGTTCGATTTTATCAACAAATAAATGCGCCTCTGCCATCTCAACAGTAATATGCCCACTCCCCCCCCCCCTCCGAGGGTGGTTAAGTTCATTTGATTTTAGTCAATCTTTACAATGCCTCCTTTGTATCGTCTGCGCCCCAGAGAGGTTCCCATAGGTACCACGTCATCTCGCTGCCTTTCGCACTTTTGAACGTGTTAACCTCGGGCACTTCCGTTGAAATATCAGGAGAAACGTGTCAAAAAGAGCGAAAGGCAGCGTCGCACCACGTAGGCACGCTGGTTCACATGGGAACCTCTCTGGGGCGCAGACGGTATCTCTCCAGTTGCATATACCCGCTTGGAGGTCATTTAAAAATAACTGTGTATTTGTGGCGTTTGCTTTCATTTAGAATGTCAAAGCATTCTGTTTTACCCCATTAAAAAAAGTTTTTACTGCAGCATCCGAGGGATGAAACCCTACATTTTTGTGTATGAAAGATTTATGATTAAAACCAGTGCTTCACCTCTGCTTCGCAGAGGTTCGCACTGGCATCGTGAACCGTGGTAAACTCACTTTCTGAGAGCTTGTCTCTCAAATCATTTTTCGGTTTATTGCAACGTGAGCCGTAGTTAAAAATGAACCATACTCGCTTCTTAACCTCACATGATGTTTAGTATCGTAAATCATTCCTCACTGTAATTTCGTAACGGACAAACTCCACACAACTTCAGATTAAGCCGCTATTATAATGACCTGTGCTGGCATCGTGAAGCGTGGTAAACTCACTTTCTGAGAGCTTGTCTCAAATCATTGTTCGGTTTATTGCAACGTGAGCCGTAGTTAAAAATGAACCATAATCGCTATCTTAACCTCACATGATGTTAGTATCGTAAATCATTCCTCACTGTAATTTCGTAACGGACAAACTCCACACAGCTTCAGATTAAGCCGCTTATTATAAGTCATGATTAAAATATTTGTTGCATTTTAGTGCTCTAATAGCCACTTCTTGGTTCTACCATGCACTTCAACAAGTCCCTATACTGGTAGGCGTACGAGGCGAACGAGATCAGCTGTCCCGAATTTTGAAGATTGTTATCGAGCACGATGATCGGATAAAGTAAGCACTAACTTTCTCCATATGCTAGAGAAGGAGATTTTGTTATCTTAGGCAGATACATCACATCATGGTTTATCATACTGGAATGCAAGCAACTGTCGAATTGCACATAGTTATGGACGAAAATCTTCCATTAAAGGTTTGTAGCCACCTGATAACTGCACCCAGGTTGGGTCCACAAAACTTTATGGTCCTCAGACTTATTCATGCGCACTTCAAATACATGTAGTTTGATAGTTCATGCCAATTAGCCCCATTTTTTTAGAAGCATCAGTTTTTATGCAACCCGGACCACAACTACAAGGCTAAAGCTTCAATAGTTTCCGTGAAAAAGACGAACCGTGCATTCCAGATCACTCATGACATCTGCCACCCGCTCGAGGAAAAGCTGTTGAAGTTAGATTTTGTGGAACGGGCATTTATTCATTGTGATTACGAGTGCGACGATGAGAAGAAGATTGCTATCTGTTAAGAAAATTTGTATTTATGTACATAGAATATTAGCGAGCAATATCAACAAGACTTCCCTTGCTTTGTCGTTGGTATTGTTCTCAGTTTTTGTAAGTATGTGAGTTTGAATGATGTTATTCTAGTGTACATTTCGAGTAATCTCACCAAACTTGGTGCTCAGTTTTACAATAAACCTCAAGAACAAAGTATTATAAATGAATTTAAAGATTTGAGCGTGATGAATACCAGTTATTTCCAAGTGATGGTATTTGATGCAGCATTTCATTCTCTTTCTAATGGTTTTATGAAATTATTGCAACAAAATCAATGAGCTTTCAGAAATAACCGAAATCTGCGGACTATGCTTTTTGAGATGGTCAGTTTTCACAATTTTTCTAAACTTTTCTGTCAATCCTCCGAGAAATTACAAGTAATCTTTTTATAGAGCAAACTCTATAGAGTGCAAAACTACTTTTTTCTCTTTTCCATAGTTTGTCATACATTTTTAACAGAATTCTAAGTGATGCTACCGATTTCCATACTTGGACAGCTAAATCTTCGTAGAACATCAAAAAAAGAGCAGCTCGCGCACTATTCAATGCAGCATTTCAGCATTTTCTCCTCTTTTTAACAGGTGTTTTTTGTTTTCGATTCGTTTAGTTTCCGGGGATGAAATCATCATAACTCATTTTTTTAGCCAAACTGCCGAGCCCAAACTGTACCCGAATAACTCAAAATTTGATATTTTGAACCCGTAAACTCTCACTTGCTATGTAAAATTTGTGCTAACTCATAGCCGTCTTGGTGGTCTCAAATTCCGAGTAATTACTGACGTTTGATGCGGCTGTGGCTGATGTAGGCCTGCCAAAATCCGATGGCTTTGTTAAAAAATCTTTTAAAAAATTACGACGAGCTATGAAAAAGAGAAAAAAGTGTGCTGTATTGTTTATGCTTGTTCTATCGAACCGTTACTTGAACTCCTTCTGAGAACTGATATGAAAGTTTTAAAAAATTGTGAAAATTGACCATTTCAAAAAGCATAAGCCGCAAATTTTGGTTATTTTCTGAAAGCTCATTGATTGTGTTGCAATAATTTCATAACCATTAGAGAGAGAATGAAATGCTGCATCGAATGCTCCAAGACCTCTTAGAAATCTTTGTTCCATCACATGTTCCCGTTTGAATAAAGCGAAATTACTTTCGAAACGACCTAATACTTTCTCGACACTTGGAAAATAAACCTGGTATTCATCTGATTCGCGCATCCGAGACAGAGTCAACAAACGTGAAATTGCTCGGTTTTGAAGATATTTGGCGGGGCACCACGCGGCACAGAATTTGGCATCTTGGCAGTTTGGCAAAAGCATCCAAAATCATCCATCCCCAACGAAATTGGGCAGACGATTGAGTAAGGACGCCGCTATAAAAAGGCCGTTTGCTGGCTCACCACGAAGAGAGGTCCGAAGGCGATGCAACGCCCTGCGGGCCTCTCTATGTTAGCTACCTTGAACGTTGAAGAGTATCAAGAAACTCGTGCTTATGGCCTTCGCACTTTGACGAGCGCACGTACGCCTGATCCTTGTTTCCTGACTATATCTGTTAGGTCAATACGTTCATATTTTGATGAATTTCCACTAGTCCACGTTCATGTTGTTACCGTAGATCACATTTTCAAATGTCTCTGGTCCCCCCAATTTCCCCTTTTTGTGATTTATGTTGCCCGTACAAAACATGTGTCCTTCCTAATTTCCGCCTATTGCTTCCTCCCTTTCTTGCTTCCCCTCTTTATCGTTCATAATGCATGGAAACGCCTGATCTTTTTTGGTTCAATATAAAGCATAGAGCAGCTAAGTAAATTTTATTGCAGAGGGCTGCAACAGTTGGAATGATTAACAGTCAAATCAAATCAATGATTGGAAATAAATACAATCAACAGATAAGGCGATAACTAATTTAAGTAATGAGATTGATTGCGATGTATCATTTTCACCTATTATATGATTAGATGCATACCCGAATTCTGTAAAATGTGTAGATAATTCACATGTAAAAGAGATGACGGAAGAAGTTGGTCAAAATCGAAGAGGCATTGCTATAAATTAAATTTGACAAGAAATGCATCCTAGAAAAAAACTAGTGAACTCCAAGGTGTTCGGAAGCAAAGTATACCCTTTCAACTTTCATATGATATACATTGGATGCAGTCCAGAAACATCCGATCAAGAATATACCACCGAGCAAGTCGCCAACTGCCGTCAACAGTGGAATGGCCGAACTATCAGGATCAATCCGCAATCGCCACATAACTCGCACAAGAAGTTGGCACAAGTACAGCAGTAACATAATCTGAAAGTGGCTTTGCGACTCCTACCTTATTTCGAAAAAGGTTGAGCCACCTGAAAGAGGGAAACGAGTAGAAAAGTGGCCGTAAAGGGGATGGTATTGGCGAATCCACAGTCGAACATAAAGATAGTGTTGATGAAGATGAGATTTCCCGGAATTGATATACCCATAAGAATACGCGCGGCTACAGAGTCTTCGTCTAAAAATTGCGATTAGGAATTGTTTACAAAGTAACAATGGAAATACTCACGGTTATTGATGAAAGCATGCCAGGGATTAGCATATGTCCATAGGCTCTTTGCATCATGTATTTGATTCTTCCTTGCTCGATGCAGCCCAGTACTTATGCGACTAGCTTGCACCGATACCAGGTTGCCACCGACACCTAAAGTAGTCCGAGCTAGAAAATGATTACAGTAGGATAGAAAATTCGGCGTCTTCAGTGGCCCATGCGGGCATGCGTCTAACGCAATCTACTTCGTAGGCAGAAAGGCGAATGACGGAGCCCATTGACTTGCGGGGGCCAGCAAGTTACCAAGTTAGTGCTTTTTGTTCACAGACTGCTCTGATGCAATTCACCATTTCAGGAGGGTAGAGGGTTTGGTCGGCTCAGGGGCTGGGATCAAACCTTGGTCGACCTGGTCGCAGCGCCCGCTACGGAATGGAGTGGTCACAATTAAAGACCCTCAAGATGCTTTGGAAGACTGCAAGAGCCGAATGGATTGTGACACATCAATATGTTCAAGAATCTAACTATCTAACGGTCTATATGTATTCTTGGTGAAGCTGTTTCAATTTTTTGGACAGTTTGGCTAATCAAGCGTGTCAAATGATTGTCATGCAACTCGAAAATTCCATGACGTTTTATATCTCACCGCTGCATGCCAAATATTCGCTGCTTCAACAACATTTACCTTCACCAGTTGAAAGATACTTTGCCTGACCGTGCAACTAACATTAATCCTCCCGACACCATATCAAAGGCAGCGTCTGGGCAGATACGAAATTGTAGTGTACAGGGGCTCTCGCCCTGCTAAAGCTCTTTCCCAAGTGGCATTAGACTACTTTGCTTCTGAAAACCGCTTCAAAAGTGGCGACCGAAACTCTCCGGCAACCTGCCCGCCCCTTCAATCGATTGCCAGAGTGCGTATGTCGCAGACAGTCAAAACGTAGGGTCCCAGCACGACTCTGCGTCTTAATTTCGTTGGCGAGCGTCCGTATAAGGTCAACAGCTTTTGGATTAGTCCGTTTCCGATATTTTGGCACTCTGCAAGCTGCATTTTCGCATCAGTGGGAAGAATAAGTCCAAGTAAGCGAAAAAAAATTCTGTTGGGGATATTGCCCGGATGCTGCCTTTAGAAGCTTCGCATAAGTGAGCTCGCAAATTCTTGCTAGGATGGAGGCAGAAAAACGGCAGATAAAAATCAGAAATCAATGTCGCATTTTCTGGCCTTTCCTTGAACTACGCGCACTTATCAAAATGATTACTTGGTACTCAAACAGTACTGAACATCGAGAATGATACACCCTGAGGTAGATTTTGCAGGCGTATAATATGTCTCTTCGTCAGGGCTCGGCGCAGTTGGCACCGGATCAAGCTGGATATCTTTTCTGGGACAATATCGTTTTTGTGGCCGAAAAGACACAAGAACTGCGATCTTTTTATAGTCGACATTTCGTTTTTGAGGTATTTTTTAGGTTTAGGGTTTAGGGTCAGAGGAGACCTCGAACGAAATTTTTCAGACTAATGGAGACTTCCTTTTGATATTTCCAGCGCCAGCTGCCAGGTCCCAGCTCGTGCCGAACCCTACTCTTCGTCGTTTGCAAACACACAACAAAGTTTAAGTAGCAAAAGAGACAAAATGTCCACTACATCTTATTTAAATTGCTGGTCCCCCATTCAAGCAACAGACAATGTGGTATGTTACGAAATTATTACTTCTCAACTTTCTGTAAACCCACCGTTGATGAGAGGTTGAAATGCTGCTATAGGTGGATACTTGTGCATTGCCGTTTTGAGTATGAAGCCGCTAAGCGTTGTGAGAGTCATGGCTGCCAATACTGCCCACCAGCCATGCTTCAACACCTAATGCAAAGTTATGCAGTCAAATTGATTTCTTTCTTAGAAGTGGACGAACCTCAACAGTGAAATGATCCCTAGAAGCTACGACTGCTCCTACACCAGCAATTAAGTAGAAGAAGAACAGCATTATTACGAGTAACCAGCTGTGATTTTCTCGGAGTTTCATCAGCAGCGTTCCCACGCCCAGCTGAATGTTGCATAATCATAGGGTACTGCTGCATAAGGAGTTAGTTGGCATACCAAAATAAACAGCGTAGAAACGTCTCCCAAAGATGCAGCAACTGGTGTCGTGATGTTATCAGGATTGATCTGAAGGATAACAGTATACGAAGGATACTTTCTTCTGCAAATGATGCACTGTTTCCAAACAGAAGTCACTACTCAGATCTATGATTAATACTTGGAGGGTTGCTTGATTGAATCAATGTGTGGCAAACCATTTTTCAGATACTTCTAATAGAGCCACAGGTTGAGATTACCTGCTTTTCTATGACAAATTTTATTTGACAAAAAACGACGTCCAAACCCGCAACACTAGTAGGATAAGCGTCCAAGACGTTTACCCTCTTTCAAACACCACTTCATCGGCGATGTAGTGAAGGGAAATATGTTGCAGGTATGTAACTTCTTTTGTAGGCTGCCTACAAACTCCTGGCATTAGGGCCGCTTACATGAACAACGCCGATCGAAAGGGGTCGCGACTTGGAAGAGAGCTTTATATTCTAAAACTAAATTCAATTTTCACGCTCTCTTTTTCTCCAAGTAAATGTAATGCCCTTCATCATGAATGCATCAAGAGCGTGTTTTTGCAAGCCGTTTTCAGCTTTTTGCATGGTCCGCTGACGTTTTCCAACAAAAACCTTCTGAAGCGCCTTGCTTTGAAGCCAATGAAGATGCCTCGAAGTCGTATCAATTTTACTCTGCATTGCTAACTATAATTGATGAGTACCAATGAGTTATCATGCAGACATACTCGATAAACAACCTGCGACGACCTACTCACCCTGTGGTGCATCGAAGTATCATTTCCTCGGTACGATGTTGTTTTTATTTCAAATGTGCACACCGTTAGCCTTGGTAATCAGTGGCCGTATTCATCAACGAACCCAATGGGTTCCGGAACCCACTGGGTAGGCTTAACCCACGAGATCGGTATTGAAGCTAGTGCGTCGCATACCCAGTAATACTTTTCGTAAATATCGCTCCAACCCAACATTGGCAGTATTCATCAACGAAACCCGTGGGTTCCGGAACCCACTGGGTTCGTTGATGATTACGGCCACAATATTGGTCACTATTGGCACAGGACAATATTGGCACATTTCTGAAATTAGAGAGAAAAGATGACTCTAAGGAAGAAATGGCTGGTTCATGGAGATCAGAGACCATACAAGAATAGAGGAACGCATTGATTGGCAGTGCCTTGTCGTAAATGTTCATACTGAATGACGATATAAGCACATGAAGATGGATAGGCAGCGCTAATACTACTACCACGCAACTACGTTACTCACAAAGGCCACCTCTCTCAAATAACCTAAAGCTGTATATCCGCCAATGGTAATTTCCACCACGAGATGTGTAGTAGAGTGTAGAGTGAATGCAGCTCGGATGAAGTGGTTTACGAGAAATAGTTTACAAGAGTCGTGATAGACGGATGCCAAGTAACTGAAGTTCCTGATATACCGCACAGTACAGTTTTGCGCAGCATATGTCTCATATCTTCGTCACGAGTGCGTATGCTGCGTATGTCGTGCAATGTGGCTTAACCCTCACGGGAGCGATTGCTGGCCATGAATCCGCGCGACTAAGAAAGATTAGCATAATGTAATGTAGACACGGATGTACCGTAGGAGTGACGATGCTGGACCGTAGTCAGGACCGTAGTCCCATGACACTCTAGGAAGCAAAATGAAAGTTACATCAGCCATGAAGAAAATGCAAGAAAGGCGTCTGTGGTATGCGTGAAGCGAAAAGAAAATCACATTACGAGATTGGCCGTGTCAGTGCCAGTGCCGGAAAAGAGGCACAGGAAGACCTAGGTTGCGATGGCTATTTAAATTCAAGGTAGATATGAGAGTGAGATGAATGAAGATCAGGCCGTGAACCGAGAAAAATGGAGAGGAGCAACAAGAGCGACAGACCTCGCGTGAGAGAAAAATGTGAGGAAGAAATATGGAGACTTCTCTTGAGCTGCGCTTCCCAGAGCGATGAAATGGTGTTCGTGCGTGCGACTAGAGTACGACCTGAACTGTGACAACAAAGGTCTGGCCCATGGCACAAGCTTTGCTTTGTTTTCTATAATGGTAACAGACTCAAGCATTGAATAGAGGTGACCTTGGATATTTTAGACAAATTCTAAATGGAGCTGACCTTGAATTTTTTAGCAGTGATGACCACTCCTATCATCAGCGTACCCAACATCAATGAAGCAAGAGATGCTGTCGCGATTGCAGATAGGAGCACGCAAAGGAAGTCACCAACATCAAACTAAAATGGATGATATAAGGAGACGTGGGGCAGAGAAAGTCAATTTGTTTTTGCATGATAAGCTGCCAAAGAATTACTTATAGGACCTCGAAAACTACCGGCTTTTCTCCAAACACAACAGCTGGTATTACAGCTATCGATGAGATGACTATTGCCTGAGTTTGAATCAACGCCATGTTGGAGCAAGCAACTTGCCACTTTTGTTTCTTTGTCTCCATAAATCCCAGATTTGCCTGAAAATGATGTTTTTTAATGCTAGATCATTATAAGTCAATTATTTACCAGTGTAGATAGCCGTGACGCTAAAGTCATCTCCAAATTTCCTTTGAGGCCAACCAAAGTTGGCACAAGTGTGACGGCATCCGGCATTTCGGTGAAGAAAGTCCAGGTCTCTGCATCTTCCAGCAGTAGACCCGCAAAAATGAGGCCAAGTCCAGCGAAGAGAAATGGTACGAGAGTCTGAATGCTTGTCTCAGATTACATAAAAACTACCCTGTATATTAGGCAATTTGCAGCTCGAAGTTTGTGGAAAACAATGGCGAACTCCGCCGAGGTACGCAGAGGGTACGAGACAATTTGAGGTCAACTTTTCTCTACTCTGAACCAGTGCGATGATGCGAATTTTCAGTCGCGATTGATTTTTGCGAAAAACGATCTTGTATTCCAGAGGAACGCGCTAATTGCAGAGCACTTCTTTTATATCGAAACTGATTGCCATATGAGCCGAATCGACAAAAGATAAATGTTACTAGAAGCCAAAAAGCAGTTCGATCATTTTGCTTGGGCTATGTCTCGGCTGTCATGTCTAAATTTTCGACCATGAATGTGGATTTCGTAGCGCGTCAGACCAGAAATGGAATTTTCTACATTACAGCGAACAGTGTAGACCCATGTAAGTTAGACCCAATCTCATTTCAGTTCAAGAGATTGATACATACACCCTAGGTTTGGCACAGTAGTTGAGCGAGCTTGCTCTTCCAAGTGGTGTTTCTCTCAAGTAATTCCAAGAGCTATTTTAACATTTCAAATAATTGAAACTGCCCACCTCCAAGAAGAACGCAGTGTTGGTCTCGATTTTTGGAATTGGTGCAGGTGGAGGTTTCTTCATCGACATCTGTTGGATGATCACCGTTATTGGTGCGAATATCCACGGCTCAGATGGTGACGCCGAAAGCGTCACGACTTCTGCGGGATCTCTGGAACGAGCTCATTAAACCAACTAAATGAATCTGAAAAGGTGAAAGAAGCACTTTGAGCAAAAATCGACAGCTGTGTGCACCGACTGAGACAGGCAAGGTTGAGGTTTGTTGATATCTTGATTAAAATCTTCCATTACTGAATTGAGAATAGCTGAGAGAGTGTGAAATAAATTTGCCAACCGTTGACGCACGGAGCACAGCCCGCGCCGAGGCTTCGTAAAAATAACTTGCGATGAATTTCGACCGAACGATAAGTTGTGGAATATACACCACCTGCTGCGAAGACAAAAGTAAGAAAAGAATACCATCCTTGCTTGCACGCTAATCAGAATGGGTTGGAAGGGTTTAACATGCTTATCAAATTGCAAAAGTATTTTACAGAGTGGAGTGGGACGAGGATGGTACGGTGAAAATGGATGGTAGTTGAGTCCACAATGTTTAGTAGTTTCTTCAGTATGTAATAAAATGGTGGGGCTAGTAATTATCATACCCGCCATCTTATCTCAGACACAGAGTACGGATTCACCACTGATAAGGAATTTACGATTTTTGAGGTTATCATTAATTTTGCGTTTTTAAAGCAGATTCATAGTCCATTCCAGAAGCAAGCTAACATCCGAGAAGCTTTTTCGTACTTGCGCTTTTCGGCAGTCATAATGATAGACAAACGCTCTAAGCAACGTTCGATGCAAAATTTCTTTCTCTTTCTAACAGTTATGTTTTTTGTATGTCTCCTTTTTGTAAAATCTTGGCATGTTTTGTAGATATTGTTTAATTGTTTTAAGCCGCAACAGGTTTTTAAAGGAACACTTTATTTACTGCCCGACGTTTCGGCTGAATGCCGTCTTCAGGGGCCTGAAAGCGAGTCAATCACTCCTTAACCAAACGATCTAGATGAGTTATGTTTTTGTTCAGATTACTTTGATGTCCGAACAAATAATCGTCAGAATCTCCCACCCATGGTTTTCCCATCCTGAGTTTGGCTATTTCTCAAAATTTTCGTTTTCGGCTTTTGGACTAGCTTTGATGACATCTGGATAAAATAAACAAATCGCAATACACTGCATTTTTTTGGCCTCTCTAGCTTGGTTCTTAAAATTTTTGAGAATATTTTGCCGATGGTATCAACTTCCATATTTGGGTATCCCAAACAATAAGCGGCGAGAAACCAGGATGTCATTCATTGCAGCGTTTTCTCTTCTTTTTAACACACTTTTTCCCTGATTTGTGTAATATTTGAGAAGAAAATCATTTCAATTCTTGTTTCCAAGCTCTTCCCAGGCTGTAGCCAGGAATGTCGGAATCCAGTATTTCAAAAAGATGTGTCGAACGTTTGATCTTTGATAACTCTCTTGCCATGAAGTCTCTCGAGAAGCTTTAGAACATGGAGCGGATCCATGATTTCTCTTCATTACTGTAGGATTACGGTGAGAACTTGCAGAAGGTTGTCAGTTATTACCATTGACCTCATATGAAAAAGCTGCTGCTTTGATCAATTTTCAAATAAAATCTGGATGTATATTTAATGGGTTTTCATGGGTGCTGAGTTTTTAATATTCAGTTTAACAAGGGTTGTGAAGCATTATAAACGATATCAAAATGTTATCATATTTTTAAGAACTGCTTACCTGGCATGACTTTCAACGAAAAACTATGATAAGATGCAAACTTTATATTCAAAATCAGCAGCTCTAACTAGCCTAGCGTGAAGGTTTTTTCGTCGTTTTGTTTCCTTTCTGAGGCAAAATATGGCTCTCCATCGCTCACCCTCCTCGTATTCCTACCGTAATCTTACAGTAGTAGGAGAGATTGGTGATTCGCTCTAATTTTATGTTCTAAGTAAAATCCAGCTCTACAGAATGGTACCTGAAGTAAGCAAAAGACTTCATAGAACAAGAGAAATGGTCAAAGATTGGATGATGACCAGAAACGACGAACTTCAAGAAAATAAATTGAGTTCCTTATTCGCTGTTTGTTCCTGCTGGGTGACAGGCTAGTCTATCTTACTCTAGCAATGATTTCTTTACTCACACAGGCTTTGGCACAAGTTTACGTGTATGAAATAAAGATAAAGATAAAAAGTCATACTCTTATAATAGTGACATATTCCTTAGCTCATATGGGCTATCCTTATTTATATTTTGTCAACTATTGTTCATTCACCTTCCTTTGAATAAATACGCTTTTTGTGTCAATTTGTAACACTTGCTGACTAATTCACTTATGTCAACGCTAATGCCAATCGTCGACAGTACAATAATTGAGGGAGCCATAGATGTTAACAATAGGCAAACAAAAAATTGTTTTTAGAGGCTGACAAAAGCGACTCTTTCTGATTAGAATTGGCTCAGACATGACAAAAAAAAGAATTTTTTTCAGCGACCAAACAGGGGCGTACACGTAGCTTTTCAATATGTACATATGTAGGAATATACACATAAGAAATTTGCGCTTGATTTTTAAAAATTAAATCTGATTGAACATTTTCTTCCAGACCAAAAGTTAAATGTCTTTTTGAAGATTTTTTCTTGGATCCACAAAAACTTACATAAACATAAATGCGCGATGAATAATAGACCGAGGTTGAGTGAGTACGAGCTGGAACATCATTAAAGATAAGATAAGAAAATGTTTTGTGCTTTTCTCAGTATTTTATAGGTGTTTGGTGCTTGACGCAGTTATTGAATGAGCAAAGATCCAGAGGAAAGGTGACTGTTTAACTAGAGAATTTAATTCCAAAAATATAGGGGTATGAAAGAACTTTGAAGTAGTTTTCCTTGCGTCAGAGAACTATTTCGTCCAATAATTCAAGCATTTTAGAAGACTTGCAGTCAAGTAAATGCCACAAAGTTTTTTCTCTGATGAACCTCAAAAGGACTTGAACTTAATTTTGTGAGTTTGTTTAGATTTTAAGAAATCATAGGCCAGTAAAATACACAGCATGGTAAACAAGTAGATAAATAATTAAACAATGATTAAATGAGTAAATGAATAAATAAATAAAGTGGAAGTTTTCATAGTATTACATCATCTTCTCAATAAGGTACAGTAGAAACACACTCTCTCAATAGATTCCATAATTTTTTTTAATATTCCATGCCCAAGCAATCTGTTCACAAAATGGATAACAAGGGGAATCGACAACCACACTCAAGATAGAAAAAGTTTTATAAAATAAAGTCTTGCCATCCTAAAGCCCATAATTATGCAATGCTTTCCTTCAACGATTTTCCCAAAATTTCTCCCACATTCGCCCTGCTGTTCTTCCAAAGAGAAGAAAATTGATTTGCATACATGTATGATTATTTCCTAGCAGTCGCAAATAAGAATCCGAATTTGAAATTCAAAAAAGTACAGCATAATTAGTGCTTTTAGGTGCAATAAACAACATGCACAAATAGAAAACATCTTGCAACAAAATGAAAGAAAGAAACTCAGAAGTGAAATGCATGGTTTCTTTGAGAGAGGTAGCTTTAAGGAAAAAGTAATTTTCAAAAACAAAAACTGGAAAAGAAGAAAATAAAGAGACAAAAGAGAAAATTTTGCAATTGTGGTTTGTGGTGTGTAATGTTCGCGAATCGATCGCCAAGCACATAAAGGAAACGTCATTCCACGATCAACGTCCTTGGTAGGTTGGAAAAACTTTGAGAAAATTGCTTTGTGCAAGACTACTGCTTGAAATGATACAGAATAACAATTTTCGTAAAACCGAAAGAAATTTCGCGGCAGGAAGTGAAGCGGTCGGTGGCTGCTATCATATATTTAAAAAAACCCCGATTACATTGACAGCACTGCAAACAGGCAGCTGTGCGTGGTTTATAAAATAATCCTTTCGATTTTTGAACCTTATTCGACTATATCCGCTAGACAAAGGTAAATTGCTTTGATTAGCCATGTTAAGTGACTTTATTTCTATTTGTGAATTCGTGATTCTCATCGAATGTCAATCATCGCTTGCAAAAGATTTTTTTGACTTTTTACGCAAAAAAATGGCAAAGTTCCAAAGTTCTATTGCCCTCCCTATGAAAAAATTTCCTTTCAAAAAGCTTCTGCGGGATTCTTTTGCTTTCCTTTTACGAAAAATTCTACGCAACTGATTTAGCGTATCGAAAAAATGCTAAATCAACGGATTGCGATTTAGCTTCCATAACTAAATTTTTGTTCCCAGCCTGTTTTAACAATTTTGATGGTCTTTTCTTTCGAGAAAGTGACTTAAGAATCTTTTCACAAGCTTCGAATTTGGAACGGTAGCGATTTAAAAACCTTGCAGTAATAATTACTTATCTTCCTCTGTGAAAAATCTCCAATTTTGTTTCTTTTCCCTGGACTTTCTGCGCTTTCAACCATTGAATCAAAAGTTAAGGAGTCGGTAAATCATCTTATTATCTTGCATGAACTTCTTTGCTAAGTGAATGCAAGAAGAAGTTATAATGAAGTAGGAAGAATTACAGAGCAAGTTTTTGGGAAAAGGTTATCTCATTTATTTTGCTTCAATTTGCGTTACAGAAAAGGATGAGAAGCAAAAAGTCAACGCACCCTAATCACTGCCACTTATCATAAACTACCTTTTTTACGTTGCCTACAGAATTTGCAACGAATAAGTCCATTAAATTATGACGTAGTGGTAATTTCCTAGGCCCTATATCCTTGGCTGCCAACACTATTTTTCATGAACTTTGTTCCGAAAGTTCTGTCCAAATTGATTTTGCTTATCATGTTAATGGATTACGTGAAAAAGGCAAGCGAGAGTGAAAGACAAAAATTTGAAAAATTTCGAAAGTTCCTCCAAGACCGTCTGCTCTGACATAGTAATGCTCCTCAAAAAGCTAGGAAAAATTTTGATGTGTAAAGACAAGTGTAGAAAATCATCCATTTCCTATCTCAGAGGATTTGCTGTCTTACTCTAGGGAATAATAGTCAATAATAATAATAGTCTGTTGTTGATTATTGTTGAAAACTCCAAATCCTGCCGGTAAAAAGCTACGATTTTCGTGAGTGGTGCTCGTAATCAAAATCAACAACGAAAGAAAGCAATAGATAGTACTAAAATGTCGCAACGAACAATATTTAGCTATTTATTTATTCAAATAAGCATAGATGCTATCCAAATCTTATAATGAGTCGCACATTCCTGTTTCGATAAATTTTACAAAATTCGATCAGAGATGAATTTAAAGAACTAACAAAAAAAAAACTCACGTCTCGGCGACTAGTGCACACTCTACGTCGCATGCCGCTCCGTTGGGAATTTCGTCTTGTTGTGACATATTGAGCTGAAACCATGGGAACTCATTTGCACATTTTCATATCCTCAGTTAGACTCAAATTGCTGCCCACTTTTTTTAAGCGAGTATGCATGATTTACATTTTGAAAAAATTTACGAAATTCCATTTGTGTAATAGGTGAAACTGGGAGAGTACCAACCATTACTCCACTCCTCAGTTTTTTGATCTGACTTGAAAAACTCTCAAGACGTGCCACAAAATGTGTAACAGCAAAGTCCCAAATCTAATTTCTATCTTAACAGACTTCAATGATGCGATGGATTATTTGGATTCTCTCCAAAAAAAGAGGTTTGACTTGTGCAAAACAGGAAAAATTCAAACGATGTAGAATTTCGCAAAAAATCTTAATCAGGAAGTTCCTCCTAGAACATAGAATCCTCACTCTTTAATATTATACAATACACAAACTAAAGTGAGTCAACAATGAAGGCGAGCGTGCGAAAGGGGGTAAAGCTTTAACCAGGAAGTCAGCAAAAGGTAGAAATGGCCGAAGTCATCTGGTCTCAGTCACTTGTTGGTGGACACTTTGGAATGTGCAAGATTTCACTGTTGATTACTTGGCATTGCACAATCTGTTTTGAGTCATGTACAGATAAAGGAGAACGAATTGTGAAATATTGCAAATTTTTGCAAAAAGATAGACTAAAGACTCTTATTTCGAAAACAGCGGGAAGGTTAAAAGGGCATTCGTTTTCTCTTTGAAAGATTTCATGACTCTATTTACAGAAATTTTGTAAATAATTAACAGGTACGAGTTTTTTAGTACAGGTAGTTGCAGTCGCATTACTTTCGAACTTTTTCAAATTTTTGCAAAAAGATAGACTAAAGACTCTTATTTCGAAAACAGCGGGAAGCTTAAAAGGGCATTCGTTTTCTCTTTGAAATCATAACTCTATCTATAGAAAATTGTAAATAATTAACAGGTACGAGTTTTTTAGCACAGATAGTTGCAGTCGCACTCTACATTCGAACTTTTTAAACATCCTTGGTGAGATGAAAAACCGCACAAACAGTTTTCCATTAAATGTAGTTTAAATATTTTGGTGTACATACCTCCACTCACAGAAAGACACGCAAAGAAATTCAATGTCAGCACCTATATATCCTGAAAAGCGAAATTTTGGACCCAACATTCTCAATTTTTTACAGTAAATACTAGCTTTCGTGTTTTATTTTTGCTCAAACATCACCATCAGTAGGAGGGGGAGCTCTTGTTGAGCGTTTTTATTGAAAGATGTCAGATGTCGTAACATTCTCGTCGTTCTGATGCGAACATGACCCACTAGGGTATTGTTAGCCAAGCTGCATCACCGACAAAGCAAAGAGTGTTAGAACTTACCCAGAATGACCAGAATCACGGTTAACTATCCTATCCCATCGATGTCATTCACCAGTGTCGACAAGGAGTTCACTTTTGGAATGGTTGGAGACTGAAAATAGTGGAGATGAAACTCATTTGATTAAGCAGGGTATAAACGACGGAGTAGCTATAATTTTTCGGGGAAGAAGAACACACTGGATCAACTTTAGAGGAATTAAGAAACGCTGACAGCTTGTCGTTTTGTAGGGGGAGAAAAAAATTATTGAGTCTATGAAGTTGAAGTACAAACCCAGGTAAGTGTTTTTTGAACTTTCTAGCAATGACCAGTGCGACTTTTTATGGGGCAAAATTGAATTTCAAAAAAGCTTCATAACTAGTTTTCTTCCGATATGTTTCACTGTTGCGAATTTGAACCATTGCAAGCTTTGTAGCTTATACAGAAGGTAAATCCAATAAAGCAAAACAAAAATTTTAAAAAAATAACATCAAAAAATACAACTTAAATTATAACCTTGAAAAAAATTTTCAACTGATTCTTTAGAACTCTTGATTGGAAATCAAACAAACAAAAACAGCGGTTAGCGCAACAAATAACAGATTCAAAATCGAGAAGTTTGAATTCAGATTGAAAACTTTTTTAATTCCATACTGACTCTAACTGTCACGACTGCTTTGATTTTGCTAATCAAACGCCTCGAAATTTCATGCTTATTTCCTATGAAGAAAAGCGGTAATATTAAAAAATATATATTATATTATATTATATATATATTAGGTCGTTCCGAAGGTAATGTCGCTTTTTTCAAATGAACGCCACATTTCATGGAATCAAGATTTTCAAAAGATCTTAGAAGCATTCGATGCAGCATTTCATCGTCTTTCTAATGGTTGTAATTTCTTTGCATATTTTACAATGAACTCTCGAAAAATTAACAAAATCTGCGACTCATGCTTTTTGCCATGGTCAATGGCTATTTTTCTAAATTTTTGTACCTATTCTTCGAAGACGTACAAGTGACTGTTAGATAGAGCAAACCTTATAGGACACAAAGCAATTTTTTTTTCCTAAGCTTGCTTTTTAGAGTTTTAGAGTTAGAGAGAGAGGAATCAATTTCTCGACGCTATCAGATTCCATATTTGGTGAATTCAAACCTCACAGAACAACAACCGGCAAGCGAGTCGGGTGTCATTCGACGCAGCTTTTTCTCCTCTTTCTATCACTTGTTTTTTTTTCTGATTCATCAAGTTTTCCGAGATAGAATCATCATAATTCAGGTTTTCCAGGGCGCCCAAGGCTGTAACCGGAAATTTCGAAAGTTGCTAATTTGAAGCGGTAAACGCTCATTTGTTTTGTAAAATTGGTGTAATACCATAATCCATCTTTGTAAGTTTCAAACTCCGAAGATTTCGTGGTGTTTGATGCATTTGTGTCTGAGACGAGCCTGCTAAAATTCTGTGGTTTCATCAGAAAATCTGTACAAAAATTATGACGAGCTCCGGAAAGTAGAAAAAAGTTGCGCTGTTTCCCGTAGAGTTTGCTCTATCCATCCATTAATTGGATTCGTTCCGAAAATTGTTATAAAAATTTAGAAAAATTTTGAAACTTTGCTTTCTCAAAAAGCATGAGTCGCAGATTTTGATAATTTTTCGAGAGGTTATTGAATTTTGCGCAGTGGTTATCAACCATTAGAAAGAGAATGAAATGCTGCATTAAGTAATACCAGAATATCTTACATATCTTTTTTCGACGAGATGTGGTGTACGTTTGGAAAAAGCGACATTACTTTCGGAACGACCCAATATAATAAACGTCTTGATAGGATTTATAACAATTTCAACCAGTTGATCCATTGGATTAAAGATCAGTGAGATGTATGGTCCTATCTGTTGTGCAAAAGAATTTATGCTCTTTGCTAGGCAACAACTTGCTAGTATACAAATAAATCAAAGTTATTGTAGACTTTCACAGAATCTGATTGTAAGTAATTACTTATTCCTTCATTCGCGTCTTTCCAAATGACAAAAATTTGGAAGAATACACAGGAAGCAGAAGTTTCAAATTTCACAAAATTGAAACATCACATCCTTTTGACACAAATAGAAAGTCACCGCCTATCAAAGTAATGTTTTCAATAAGGGAAAATGAAGAAAGGAGAATATAGATTCATCTTCACAAGGGAAAACGTGGAGTGTTACTCTCTGACATAACTTTATTTTTAGCTAGAAGCCATGACTTTCTAGAAATCCATAGCAATATCGGATATCGTGTGGAAAAAATGTTTGTTGACGTAAAACTGCTGACGGATTGTATCATATGTACGCTGTGATAGAGTTATATAGCTGCAAATATGCAAAGGAAAAGAAAAAGGAGCTTATGTCAGGAGGTGCGATTTTTGTTGCCAGACGGACACCAGATAGTACCTAATAAGTGTTTCATGAGTTTCTAAAAGCATTCAAATTTTAAAAAGAGAAATATTAGATAGTTGCGATAGTTGTTCAGTCTTGTTGCCTTGGAATCGGTTCAAAACAGCAATTTTGAAGGTCAAAAACTCATGAGAATGCAGCTAAAAATTCGTAAAAAAATTTCGTTCGTTTTACAGCAAAATCCACCAAATTAGCAATTGGTAAGCTCAGACAGATAGTAAGCCAATGCACTTTTTCTGGTGCTTTTTGAAGACTCGCATAGCACTAAACTGGAGATTTAAGTTAGTGACAGCTGGAGAAATCGCCCCTCTTGATCGTTTCCCGAGAAAATGCGCGCCTCATATGTGGGAAGATGACTTTACTGAACCGTTCGGCAATTCCTTCCCAATCCGGGCTTTGTCATGTTCAAAGTCTATCTTTGTAAGAAACTTTGGAAAGAAAGGATGAATCAAAATTACACAAGATGACTTTTCTTTTGAAACCATCTTTTGCGACAGTTAGAACTATCATTTCAAAGTTCAAAGAAGCCAGAAGCAGGGGAGAGATGTTGAGATGATGATTTGAAAGACTAGAAGTCAGATTCTATGTGCTGAAAGCAAGGTTCATTTCTGATGCATTGTCGAGGAAACATTACAACTGGAGAGGATTGCAGGAATTCTTTGCGACAATGCAGAGCATAAACAATGTGTTGAGAAAGTTTATGATTGTCAAGTTTCGCAACAAAATCTTTAAATTTTGCAGTCATTCATAAATCAAAGCGTTAACCGTATTCTTTAATGAACCATGCTCTATATTGAACATACATATAGAATTCTTTAATGCGTAACAATATAGAAAATTTGATGAAGGATATTATCGTTTATTTTGAAAGTCTATCAATATACTCACTTCTTCGACATGGTCTGAGGCTAAAAAGAGTTTTTTGTTAAGTATTAGGTCGATACACAACTAATGCACTAAAGAAGAGGAAGAAGTTGTTCTAAAAATGCTCAAACAAAGTAATCACTTCACAGACATACTCCTTTGTTATATGTATCGAAAATAGTATTTTATAGTACATTTTGGAAAACCAGTGTGGAACACAATCTATTAGTGAATCCAAAAAAGTCGAAATTCGTAACATTTCGCAGAGACATTCAATCCCTACCAATTTCTCTTAGTCATAAAAGTGTTACAAAAGAAGATCAAAAATAAATTTAAATTTCAGTAGCGGTCTTAGAAATTTTAGTGACTAAAAATCGCAAAATCATTTTGTATAATTCTCTTGATTAGCTTATATTATTGCCACATGCCCTCGAACAATTTTGACTCAAGAACCTGCAGAAAGCGCAGGATTTTTCTCCCTATCAAGTATCGAATCAGAAGATTTCGCTGAATCTAGAAGTAACAGAATCTGAAATTTTGGTGCAAAAGTAAGCATCAAACGAATATAGCTTATATAAAGCGCTCAAAAACCTGAAGAAATTCATCATCGAGCTCTTAAAAATGGATTGGAGCTAGCTTGCTTCTTATTTATAACGGCAAGTCCAAATTATAAACTCGAACTATCTGGAACGACAGAATAAGCTTCTTACCAGCTTCTTTGACACCCACAAGCATCAAAAATAATCGCATGTGAGCTTAGATCGACGAGATCCTCGACAAAGCTCCGCCCCCTCGGCGGATGTTTATTCAGCGATAAAAGCAAGCAAGCTTTCCGAGTGAGAACATCATCTATCATCTCATGGAATTTGCTACCGCGACCAGTCGCAAAACAAAAGAAAAAAAAGAATAAAAGAAGAAAGACGGCTCTACCCGTGGGTGTTCGCATTGTTGTTTACACGAATACTCGTCTTTTGATAAAGTTCTATGTAATTTCCTATGCACAGGCAGCCGGCGTCCCTTTGTTTCTATCCTTTGCCCTTTGTCAATGAAAAACAACATAAGAAATTGTTAGCACAACGTGAAGGAATCCGATTTTAAAGGTTGCATAGATTGTGTAGATAAGTGGTTATTGATTAAAAACCTAAATATTTGTGTAAAATCCGAAAATCTGAATGACTTTGTAGAGATTTCTAGGGTCTACAATATTCACTGTAAAGGCAGCATCCAAACCCAAACCCAAAAATTCGCCCCCATGTTTTTGCCAATCTGGGGGTCTTTCCGTGTCTCTGATTACAGTTATGATGTGCAAATTGTCCAAACCTCCCAAAAAACCCGATTCCTGGGGACTCTGCCTTGATGTCGCGTGCGGCTTTCAGTACCTGGGTGGGCGGAGCTTGATAAAATCTGGGCGGAGCTTGATAGCACGTTGGCTGATCCAGGTCTATTATCTCCATTCAGGGACAACATTAGAGGACCGGATCAACACAGATGCCCCTTTTCGGGGGCCTACATTCAGGATAGGGGTCTAATCGGAGGGAGAGCGATTTAGTCTGGACGTAGCCTTCAAGGCTACAAGTTTGCAAAAGAAAATATTTACATTTCCTGCAGTGGGCGTAGACAAAGTCACACCCCTTATTGGAATTCTGCAGCTCCTCTTCCGCCCCCCGCTGCACGTAACTTATTTTTTATTTCGTTACATCGATCTTGAGCTTTTGGTTGCGAAATTGTCATGTGTTAGCTAAACTTATTTTTAGGGTCATATCAGAGCTAGTGCTTGAAATTTCATAAAAACAAATTGCTTATCAAAATGAATTTTTCGATCA